GGATCAGTAGTTGGAAAATATGGCCTTGGAGATAGACACAACAATGAAGATCAAATGATAGAATTTTGTGAGACCAATGACTTATTTATTGCTAATAAATTTCAACAATGTAAACAGCGACTATACATGTGGACCTCTCCAGATAGAATACACAGGAATCAAATTTACTACATATGTGGAAAGAGATGATGGAGAAGATCAATATCATCAGTCAGAACAAGGTCAGAGGCTGACTGCAGAACAGACCATCAATTCCTCATATGCAAGTTCAAGGTGAAGCTGAAGAAAATTTAAACAAACCCACAAGAGCCATAGTACGACCTTGAGTATATCCCACCTGAATATAGAGACCATCTCAAGAATAGATTTGATTCATTGAACACTAGTGACTGAAGACCAGATGAGTTGTAGGATGACATCAAGGACATCATACATGAGGAAAGCAAAAGGTCACTGAAAAGACAGGAAAGAAATCAAAGACCAAAATGGATGTCAGAAGAGACTCTGAAACTTGTTCCTGAATGTAGAATAGCTAAAATGAATGGCAGAAAGGATCATATAAAAGAGCTGAACAGATTTCAAAGGGCAGCTTGAGAAGACAAAGTAAAGTAGTATAATGAAATGTGAAAAGATTTGGAGTTAGAAAACCAAAAGCAAAGAACATGCTCAGCATTTCTCAAGCTAAAAGAACTAAAGAAAAAAAATCAAGCCTTGAGTTGCAATACAGAAGGATTCTCTGGACGAAAAAATTGAACAACACAAGAAGCATCAAAATAAGGAAGGAATACACAGAGTCACTGTACCAAAAAGAATTGGTCGACATTCAACCATTTCAGGAGGTAGCATATGGTCAAGAACTAATGATACTGAAGAAAAACTCCAGCTGCACTAAAGGTGTTGGTGAAAAACAAGGCTCCAGGAATTGATGGAATACCAATTGAGATGTTTCAACAAATGGATGCAACTCTGGAAGCACTCACTTGTCTATGCTAAGAAATTTGGAAGACAGCCACCTGGCCAACTGACTGGAAGAGATCCATATTTGTGCCCATTCCAAAGAAAGGTGATCCAACAGAATGCAGAAACTATCGAACAATCTCATTAATATCACATGCAGGTAAAATTTTGCTAAAGATAACTTGAAAATGGTCGCAGCAGTACATCAACAGGGAACTACCAGATATTCAAGCCAGATTCAGAAGAGGACCTGGAACAAGGGATATCATTGCTGATGTCAGATGGCTCTTGGCTGAAAGCAAAGAATACCAGTTTACCTGTGTTTTATTGACTATGCAAAGGCATTCAACTTTGTGAAGCCTAACAAATTATGGATAACATTGTGAAGAATGGGAATTCCAGAACACTTAATTGTGCTTACGTGGAACCTGTACATAGACCAAGAGGCAGTCATTCAAACAGACAAGGGGATACTGAGTGGTTTAAAATCAGAAAAGGTGTGTATCACGGTTGTATATTTTCACCATACTTATTAAATCTGTATGCTGAGCGAATATTCTGAAAGCCAGACTATATGAAGAAGAACATGGTATCAGGATTGGAGGAAGACTCATTAACAACCTGCAATATAGAGATGACACAACCTTGTTTGTTGAAAGAGAAGAAGACTTGAAGCACTTACTGACGAAGATCAAAGACCACAGCCTTCAGTATGGATTACACCTCAACATAAAGACAACAAAAATCCTTACAACTGGTCCAATAAGCAACCTCATGATAAACAGAGAAAAGATTGAAGTTATCAAGGATTTCATTTTACTTGGCTCCACAATCAACACCCATGGAAGCAGCAGTCAAGAAATCAAAAAACACATTGCATCGGGCAATTCTGCTGCAAAAGACCTCCCTAAAGGGTTAAAAAGCAAAGATGTCACCTTGAAGACTAAGGTCCACCTGACTGGAGCCATGGTGTTTTCAATTGCCTCATGTGCATGTGAAAGCTGGACAATGAATAAGGAAGACTGAAGAATTGACACCTTTGAATTTTGGTGTTGGAGAATACTGAATAACAACCATGGACTGCCAAAAGAGTGAACAAATCTGTCTTTGAAGAAGTACAACCAGAATGCCCCTGAGAAGCAAGAATGGCGAGACAATGGCTCACATACTTTAGACATGTCATCAGGTGGGATCAGTCCCTGGAGAAGGACATCATGCTTGGTAGAGAGTCAGCGAAAAAGAGGAAGACCCTCAACAGGATGGATTGACACAGCAGCTGCAGCAATGGGCTCAAGCATAACAACTATCATGAGGATGGGATCGGTCTGGGCAGAGTTTTGTTCTGTCGTACATAGGGTCATTATGAGTTGGAACTGACTTGATGACATCTAATAACAGGCCTTTATCTCTGATTGGAACAATTGTTACCAAGTTTGGCATTTACCTTGTGACCTTGCTGATGGCGTTTTTGTTTTGTTTTGTTGCCACTATTTCTTTTAGAATAGAGCCCAAACTCCTCACTGTGGCCCATATGGCCCGAGTGGCCCATCACCTGCCTTTCTGACCTCACCTCCCTCCACTCTCTGTTTCACTCACTCTACTCCAGCCACGATGGGTTCCTCGCTGTTTCTCAACTGAACCATGCTCCCTTCTTCCTTTGCTCTTCCCTCTGCCTGAAACCCTTCCTTCCTTCCCCTCCTTGCCTAGTTAACTCTACTCCTCCTTTAGAATCTACCCACCATCACCTCCTTTAGCAAGCCTTCCTGAGCCACCCTCAAGGCCATGTCTATCCTGTTCACCACTATACCTCCAGCACCCAGCACAATACATGGCTCACAGTAGCTGCTTACTAAATCCTTGCTGGGTGAATGAATGAATGAAAATGTCTCAAGGTGATAGGCAGGTTGAACTGTTAAAAAATTTTATTAAAATGTCCAAGAAGTACATTAATGTCCACAGTGTCAGATACCACAAACCCATGGAACACTGCAGGTCACAGCAAAACCAACAGCGCCCAAGGCTATTCACACACACACACACACACTCACATGCATGCCATGCACGCAGCACACGCAAACACACACACATCCCAAAGTGAAAGATCAAGAGACAAACCACCCACTTTAAAAAATACCAGAGCACCCTCCCATCATGGAGTGGGGTGGGGGCAGGGCAAGTGGTACATGGGGACAAGGGCAAGGAGCATAAACCAAGCTCCCCTCAAAGAGTTGCATCCCAAGCGCCCCCCAACAAAGAAAAATACTTTTGTGACATGTATGATCAAAGATGTGCTGTTATTGTTATTATTATATATTTTTAAAACGAAGAAGCTTTATCAAAGTAAGAAGACAAAAACTATATCCCTGGGGTTTCTCAACAATACCATAGGGTAGATAATGTCGATAGCAGGGAAGATTGAAGATCTTGCTCAAATATGAGGGTACGGGTTGCGCCTCTCAGTATGCCCGTGTGTGTGAGAAAGAGTGCGATAATGTTCCAATCCTTTCCCCGATGTAGAGAGTAGTGTTTGGAGTCTGACAGAGGCCTCAGCTTCCTCATGTGTAAAATGGGAAAATGATGGTTCCTGTCACTGGTCTGTTAAGATGACTCATGGAGATAATGTGTTAAGTCCTTAGCAGGCACCAACTCATAGCTGTCAACTGGGATTATTATTTCTCAGGAGGGATACAGGCTTAGTCAACAGAGTTATTTTTCTACTGAGCCCTTAGTGGATCATGCATTGGCTTATTTTTCTTTCCTGTAGAGGGCCATTCTCCACTGTGGTTTTCAACACTAATGCACAGATTTTACCCAGACTGAGAGTTGGCAAATGGCATGAAGGAAAAGCCATGGATCTTTCCAGGGGAAACTGGATCCTGGCCAAAGGCTGGGGGAGGCCTCTAACAGGTTGCATATTTGGGGAAGGAAGGCAGGGGTGTCCTTTTCTACTTAAAAAATAAAAACTCTGAGAGAAAAACGTGTGTGTTTTTCAGTTTGAACACTGTGCACCTCTTTATAATATGACCACAGGCAGGTGTTTCTTCTTCAAGTTTTAAGCGTTTCCAGTCAGCCAGTTAATGGCTGATGACAGGTATGGGATGGAGGTGGGAGCTGGGCCCAGGGCAGGGGCACCACTGAAGTCTGCTTGAGGGATGGGTACGGGGACTCGGCTAGAAAGCTTGGCACCTCCTTGGTCCAGGAAAGAGGCTCTTTGTCTCCCTGAGAGATGGAGGGGGAAGAAATCAGGGCATCTCAGGCCCCAAACATCCTCTCATCTGTGTGTGTGACTCACACACATGCAGAACCACATCTCAGCACTGGTCTAGACCTGGGAGGGTGAGCAATACACTTCCCTTCCATTGCCTAAATATTGCTCTGATTTTCTGACCCCTAATTCTGAGGGCACAGAGGGAGGTTGTTCTAAAAACATTGCAAAAATTCAGTACGTGGGAATGCCACACTATGTTTATCCACCAGGACCAAAACCTGAACTTTCGCCAAAGTCCAAGGTGAAGCAAGAGCAGTTGCCACGTTCTAGCAGTGTGCTTCTCTTTAGTCTCCTACTCCTAAAGCCAATGACCTTAAATAAAGGCTTCAGCCTGGAGTGAGGACATCCAATAGTTTACTGAGCCTGAATCTCTGGTGTGAAAAGCAATTTCTTCATACGATCTCAAACATACTCTCCTGCACCCTTATCAAAGCCTTATTTCAACAACTGGCAATCGGCATTGCAAACAAAAGACTAAACTGATGCAAAAGAACGATATTTGCTGATTGTGCTTCCCTCCACTGGGAGACTTTCTGGATTTCGGACTGACGAGAACTGACTTCTCAGACACACGGCTACACCTGCCAAGAGGATCTTGTGTACGTAAGAAGGAGGAGAGAGGAGCTTTTTACAAAGGATTATGTGGGAACGAGGGGATGTGGTTTGGGGCTCAGGGATTTCAGGACCCTCTTGTTTCTCTCTGGGCTGTGTCTCCCCAGGTGGAGGCTCCAGAGGAGGTATGGGAGGGTGGTTGTGCTTTCTTTTGCCTGGTTTCTCAGCAGAAATTCCCATCTTCCTGCTCCCAGTCCTCCGCCGGGTGTTTCTTGTGTTTTCTGCGCTCCTTGCGCGGTTTGTGGTGGTGGCGTAGGTGGTGGCGCTGGTGGTGGTGGTGGTGTCTCCGCATCCGATGATACCGTCTGGCTGTAGGGAAGTGAGGGAGAACAAGGGTGGGACAAAACGTGGTGAGAAGGGGTGGCCTGATGCAGAGGGCCCCCTCAGGGGAGGGAAAGTGGAGGAAACTCCAGGCAGGCTGGTAAGTGCTCACTTATCTCCAAGGCTGTATTACCAGATCAGTGTGTATACTAATAAGATGTTTTAATCAGAGACTACAAATAGCTCGTGGTTCAGTGGTAGAATTCTCGCCTTCCATATGGGAGACTTGGGTTTGATTCCTAGACAATGTGCCTCATGTGCAACCACCACCCATCTGTCAGTGGAAGCTTGTGTGTTGTTATGATGCTGAACAGGTTTCAGCGACTAAGATGGACCAGGAAGAAGTCTGGTGACCTACTTCCAAAAATCAGCCAGTGAAAACCCTATGGATCACAATGGTCAAATCCACAGCTGATCATGGGGATTGCACAGGACCGGACAGTGTTTCCATCTCGTTCTGTTATGCATGGAGTCACCATGAGTCAGGGCCGACTCAACAGCAGCTGACAACAAATAGCTGGAAATCTGTGTTGGGACACTGGGGGCCACTTACGTTTGGTGCAGACGATCTGGGGCCTGTCCCACTTGCCATTGCCCCGGCACCGGATGGTGGCCACATGGTGCTGGACAAAACCTTCATCGCATTGGTAGCGGACGGTGGCGTGGACATTGTACTTGGCTTTGCGGGCACCGATGAGTGAGGCATTCTCTACTGCTGGAGGGGGGCCGCACAGCACTGGGAACAGACAGGCGTCTAGTTAGGGCTGTGGCCATGTAGGTGGCTGAGCTGGTTTCTTGTCCCAATGGGAATAATACACCCAGCAGGTCCTCCTTCTGCCCAGCCCTAACCTCACAGGGCTAGAAGTGACTGTGTCTGGCTCTGTCTCCTCCACCCAAACCAGGAGCTCCTTAGGGACAGGAACCACGTCTCCTTCTTCACGTACACACCCCACTCCCTACTTCTTATGCTAACCATAGGATATGATGGGAATGGAGGAGATGGCGGGGGCAATAAAAGGAAGAAAAACCCAGTTGCCATCATGTCGACTCCAACTCATGGAGACCCCATGTATGTCAGAGTAGAACTGTATTCCACAAGGATTTCAGTGGCTGATTTTTTGGAAGTAGATCACCAAGCCTTTCTTCCCGGGCACCTCTGGGTGGACTCGCACTTCCAACCTTTTGGTTAGCAGCTAAGCACATTCACCAAAAGGAAGAAAGGGAAGAAAAATTGCAAAGAAATGGAAGCAAGACTGAAAAAAAGTATACGAGAGAGGTGAACATGAGAATGTGTACAAATGATTGCCTTAATATGTAAAGAATTCTTACAAATCAATAACATCAACAACTTGATAGAAAATTAGGCAAAGGATATAAACTAGCAGGTCACAGGAAAATAAATAAGCATCAATGGCTTATCAATGTATGAACAGTGGCTTAGTCTCATGCATCATTAAAGACGTGCTAACTAAAATAACAATGAGATACTATTTCTTGCCAATTATATGAACTAAGATTAAAAAGTTTGAGAATGCACAAAGTTAGCGAGGGCAGGAGGAAAGGGCACACTTGCTGGGGAGTGAGAACTGGGGTTTTTACCCACTCCGCTGGGCTAACTCTTATATTTACAAACTTACATAAAAGGCTGAAGCAGTGTGCTTGTGTGGAGGGAGGAAGGGGCAGGTGAGCGGGCGGGAAGGTGGATGGATGTACCTGTGCCCTTCTTACAGATGTAGGGGAGGTTGTAGTTGCAGGGAACGTCGTTCCAGCGCCCGCTCTCATGCGCCACCATTACCACACAATCCTCCCCGCCCGCGAAGAAATTGTCCGGCTGGTTCTCCCTCCAGTTCTCATATTGCTGCAGGAATAGGGGGCATGGTTGCTCAGGGGACCTGGTCCTGGCCCGGGCTCGGGCTCTGTTGCTGTGGAATCACCTGGCCAGACCACTGAAACTCTCAGGGACTCAGTTTTCCCATCTCTAACATGGGCACCATTTTACCTGCCAGCAGGGTCCAAGCTGGGAGGCTGCAGCATCCTCCTCCCTGCTTCAGCCTCCTCGTCTCCCTCCACCCACAATCCTGACAGCCTGTTTTCCACACAGGTCACTGTTAAATAAATAGCTGAGCATCTGTTATGTACCTGGCCCTGTGAACAAAAGGTGGCCTAGCCCTGGAAGTCCAGGAGGGCTTCTCTGAGGAGGTGACAGGTGAGCCGAAGACTCAAGGATAAGAAGGATTCAGGCAGGGAAAAGAGTTTCAAGCAGAGGAAACAGCATGTGCAAAACCTCAGAGGCAGGACTGAGCCTTTTTAAGGAACCAAGTGGAGGCTTATGGGGCTCACCTCAAGTCGGGGTATGGCCAGAGAGTGGGCAGGGGCCATGTCCCGTGGCCCAGGAGAGGGTTGTGGATTTTTATCTTGAGGAAATGGGGAACCAGGGAGGGCTTGAGGCAGAGGAGGATCCTGCCAGCATGCAGGAGGCAAGAGGCCAGTGAGGAGCCACTGTCAGTGTCCAAATGAGCAATAATGGTGGGCACACAGGCAAGGGGTATGGAGGAGTGGGTATATGTAAGGGACGACATCTGGGGAATGAGTCATAGGTTTGTGGCCTCAGCAACTGGGTGGATGGGGGCCATTTACAGGGCAGGGAAACTCAGGGCTAAAGCAAGATTTGGGCATCACTGAGCCCTTTCAACAGGCGCAGCATCTCAGAACCACTGGGACTTTTGACATCCATCTGTGGTTGCTTTGCACAGGAGGGTAAACTGAGGCTCAACAGCAGAGCCCAGGAGGCTCAGGCCAGATTCCTCCATGCTGGGCAGGGTCCTCGTCAGCAGCCTCAGGGCAGGGACCCCAGCCAGGGCTCCAGCCACTCACCAGCCCTGAGTTGTCTGTCCACTGGAAGTCCCTCTCCACGATCCTGTCATTCAGGCCAATCCATGTGTTCTCATGCCCGAAACCTGCGGGTGGGGGGCAGGTGTGAGGACTGGGGACCCCAGCCCCATCCCCAGCCTCTGAGGTGGGCTGAAGGTGGCCGTGTGGGAGATCATGAGGACTGGGGACCTCAGCCCTTCCCCCAGACTCTGGCTGTGGGCTGGGGGTGGGGGGAGGGGCAGGGCGGAAGGTGCAGAGGTCCTTCCCCCAGCCTTGGAGGTGGGCTGGATACAGCGTCCTCACCTCCACCCGCCCTAGGCAGGGGAGGACTCTGCCTGCTCTCTTACCTGGGGGCGGGGGGTATCACAGAAAGGGCTGGAATTAGGCCCTGGCCTTGCCATGATTTATGGCTTCAATGAACGTACTGAGGAAGGAATACTAAAGGCACGTTCTCTCTTTGCAGAAATGAGAGGTGAGGGGACTGGAGACCCCCATGTCAGCGCCCGTCAGGGGTGGGGGTGGGGATGAGTGAGTGAGGAGTACATCTAATTCCACTGAGGAAAAGGAAACAAATGAACCAGGGAGTGAACAAATGAGAGAATTAATGAGGATGGCATGGGGGAACACGAATGAACCGAGGGAGAAGCCCCAGCAGAAGGGATCATGAATAAATCAGTAAATGCCAGATTTAATTACTGCAACGCTCTGCCCTCTCCCTAGGTCTGTGTGGAGCTCATTCTCCATTTCATCCCCCTCTCTATCCCCTGGCCCCATTTTTTTTGTCAGCAGGACACTTAGGACGAGCTAAAACTATATTACAGATTTATGTAATTAAGATAGTTACTTGTTTGTCTGTATTCTCCACCAGAAATCACTCCTCAAGGACAGGGCAATTTCCCCAGTGCCTGGAACAGTGCCTGGCACAAAGCAGGCACTCAGTAATCATGTGGCGAATGAATGAAGTGAATATGGGAATTAATGGAAGTGTGAATTAATAAGTGGACAGGGCTTGCACAAATGAGTACAGCTTGGAAAGGTGGTGTTCCCAGGCCCCTTGGGGGGACTCTGGCAAAGGGCCTGTGGGTGACACCACTGCCCACCCTACTGGCAGTTGACCCTCCCCCCCAAAGTCCCTACTGTTAATGAAGCCGTGCTCCTCAGGCGAGTGGACGCTGGTCAGGTGGCCGGCTCGGTGGCGGCAGTCCCTCTCGGCGTCCTCCCATGCCCGTCGATGGGCAAAATAGCGGTAGCAGTGGCCCTGGAACTTGTGCCAGCCGCGGTCACAACCCTCTGTGTCTGGGGGTGGGATAGGAATGTGAGGGGGACTGGCCATGAGCACAGCAGTCCCACCAGATCACTGTGGGGCTAGATTGCCCTTCTCCCCAGTCCCATCCCACGCCCCGCCGACCTCCTCCCCAGCCTTTTACCACCACTTCCCCATAGTAACATCTTTTCTCCGGTCCCAGTGCTGACAGCTCGTTCTCTGATCTTTGGGGCCACACTGGCCACCTCCTTTGTGAACCTGGAGAATGCACAGTGCCTGGGCCCCCAGGAAATGGTCTCAGGAAGGTCTTAAATTTCCCTCTTGGCAAAGGGCTTCAAGAGACATTTCTCTAGATACACAAATGGCCAACAGGTGCATGAAAAGACGCTCAGCATCATCAGTCATCACGGAAACGCAAATCAAAACGATGATGAGATACCCCTTCACATCCACTAGGATGGCTATAATAATAATAATGTTTTTAGTTGCCGTGGAGTCAGTTCTGACTCACAGCAACCTTATGCACAACAGAATTAAACATTGCCCGGTCCTGCACCATCTTCATGATGGTTGGTGTGTTTGAGTCCATTGCTGCGGCTACTGTGTCAATCCATCTTCCGGACGATTTTCCTCAATAAGATATATAATAATAATAATAAAGGAAAATAACAAGTGTCGGTGAGGATGTTGGAGAAACAGGAACCCTCATCCATTGCTGGTGGGGATGTAAAATGGGGCAGCCACTGTGGAAAACAGTGTGGCGGTTCCTCAAACCATTAAACATAGAGTTACCATGTGACCCAACAATTCCATTCCTGGGTATATACCCAAAAGTATTGAAAAGAGGGACTCAGACAAATGTTTGTACGTGAAAATTCATTGCAGTGCTATTCACAATAGTCAAAGAAGTGGAAAGAACCCAAATGTTTATCAATGGATGAATGGATACACACAATGTAGTCCATCCACGCAATGGAATATTACTCAACCATGAAAAGGAGCGAAGCACTGATACATGCTACTACATGGATGAACTTTGAAAACACTATGCTGACTGAAAGAAACCAGACACAAAGGCCACATATTATATGATTCCATTTATATGAAAGGCCCAGAATAGGGAAATCCATACAGACAGAAGCAGATTAGTGGTTGCCAGGGACTGGAGGAGGAGGAATGGGGAATGACTGCTAATGCGTACAAGGTGTCCAGAAAATGTCTAGAACTGGATAGAGATGGTGGTTGCACGCCACTGTGAATGCACTAAATGGCACTGAATTGTGCACTTTAAAATGGTTAATCCCATGTTATGTAGGAAACCCTGGTGGTGTAGTGGCTAAGAGCTATGGCTGCTAGCCAAAAGGTCGGCAGTTTGAGTCCACCAGGCGTTCCTTGGAAACCCTATGGGGGAGTTCTACTCTGTCCTATAGGGTTGCTATGAGTTGGAATTGACTTGACAGCAATGGGCTCGGTTGGGTATGTTATGTGAAATTTACCTAAAAAATTCTCTCCTGTCAGACTCACAGCCTGAGGCTGAGACCAGCAGTGTGTGGAGGAAGCCTGTAGCCAAGCACCTAACCCCACTCCTGGTACTGTTCTGACGTCGTGGATGAGACTCACCTTTCTCACAGAGGCTGCCCCCGTAGCTGGGGAGGCAAAGGCAGACAAAGCCGTTGACCTCATCAATGCAGGTGCCTCCATTCTCACAGGGGCTGCAAATGCAGTCGTCAATGTCTGGAGGAGGGAGGGGCTGGGTCAGGGGTCAGCATACCCCTGGCTCCAAGCCCCACAGAGAACCAGGTAGAAGACCGGGTCAAGATCTTGCCGTCCATCCTGGGTAGCAGACATTGGTCTGCACAGATGGTCCAATGGCTCTGTGAGCCAAGGGGGTGGAGACTCACATAATTAACATGAATCAGCATTAATGATAGCAGATGCCACCGGGCCAGCTGAGGGCCAGGATGTTAGCACTGCAGAATGTTCCACCTGACTCAAAAAGAATGACAGTTATTCTCTTGTACATAGGCCCATAGAATACCAAAGCTAGAGAGTCTTTTAGGAATGTATGGTACACAGGAAACTGGGTTCCAGAGCATTTGCAGGGACTTGCACAGTGTCACAAAGCTGTTTATAGGGAGAGCTAGATATTCAATTGAGCTCCTTTTCTACCAATACCTGTATAGATGGTACTTGAGGCACATATGACACCAGGCAAGTTGCAGCCCTTCTCTGAGACTCAGTTTCTTTCTTTGCAAAGTGGCGATAATAATAGCACCCCCTTGAGGGTCGTTGTGAGTGGAAAGTCAATGCATAGAGCTCAATGAATTTACTGATTACATTTATTATTGTAATTCTGTAATTAGTAATGTGGTTGTGAAGGGAGGGTCAATGAGATGATGCACAGAGCTTAAGAAATTATGTTATTTATATTTATTGTTATAATTCTATAATAAATTCTATTTCCTGTATTGGGCTTGAGGTTAGCATTCAAGAGTTCTGGTGGTGGTGCCTATATCCCTCCTCACCTAGAAAAGGGTAGGGTCCCCTAGGGCTTTTGGCTGGGAGAGGCTTAAGCCACATCATCCCTTTCTCTTCCCCTCTTTGCCCCTGCCTGGTAACAATGGGAGGCAGCACACTAGAGTCATTGCCCCCAGGATGAGAGCTCAGCTGTGGCAGATGGTTTGGTTCTCCTACTAAAATGGGGCTGATTTAGCTGGATAGAAGGAGTCGGGGAGGGGAGAAGGGCATCTGAAACCAGTGTTTTGTGATCCCCTGAGTCCTGGAGGGCAATGGCTGCTGGGACCTAGAGCCCAGGACTCTATAGAGTCAAACAAATCTAGGATCAAATCCTAGGTCTGGGGCACTCACCAATCTCACAGTTCTCCCCAGCGAAGCCCTGATCACAGCTACAGCCGTACATGGTGCCGTTGGCCTTACAGGTCCCCCCGTGCAGGCATGGGTTGTTCTCGCAGGGATCAGAGGGGTCTGTAGGATAGATGAGCAGTGTGGGGAGGGGTCAGCTCATCAGCTCTTTTGCCTTCTCCGAATCCAGACCTCAGGCCCCCAAAGCCCTGCTCACAAACCCTTCTCTGTGGGGGTCCTCTCCACAATGTCCCCAGCAGGCAGTCATCAAATTCCCTTGCATGTCCCCTGTGACAGGGAGCTCACTCCTTCCAGGAACTGTCCCAAAGCATCTGTGGGCTGCCCTGCCTATGGCAGAGTCCTTGGACTGAACTGAACAGGGCTTCCTGAAGTTTCTCTTAGGAAGTCTTCTCCTGGAACATGAGTTTATGGCCCTCCCTGACTTGTTTCCTTCTTCTAGACATGCCCAGCTGGTCACTGAACCTCGCACGATTTGGTGCCAGAAATAAACACAAAGTTCTAGGTGGGGTATGAACAGCACGGGGGAGAGTGGGAACTATCACCACCTTCATTGTAGTGGCTCAACTTCTTTTGATGCAAGCTTAGTGGTTACAGTGTCAAGCGGTGATGCATTATAGTGGTTAAAAGCATGGGCTGTGGAGTCAGAGAGGCCCGGATCAAGTCCTGGCTCTGCCACTCAATAGGGAGCCCTGGGCAAGTCACTTAACATCTCTGAATTTCAGTTGCCACATCTGTAAAATGGGAATAAAATAGTTCATCCCTCTCTCCCAGTCCTGACCACATGCTGTATCCAGATCTGTCCCTATTAGCCTGGGGCCTTTTGGGGGTCTCAACATCACTCAGCATGGGACTGGGCACCCAGGAGGTATAAGAAAATGTGGGTCCCTGTCCTCCATCACCTCCCAGCTGGGTTACCCTGGAGCCAATCAGGTCCCCTCCCCGCCTCAGTGCCCAGATGCCCAGGTGGGTAGTCTCCAGCCCCTTGAAGAAGTCCCTCCCTGGAACATGGGAGAGAGGGCAAAAGCCCCCATCCTAGCCCAGCCGACCCCCATCCCATGCCCAGCCCTTGCACTGCACAGACACTAAAACCGAGGCCCAGAGGAGGATAGGGCCCCCTGGGCAGAGCCTGACTCAAAGCTATACGAGAGACAGGGCAAAGCCCAAGACTGGCCGCGAGTCTCCAGGAACCCTGTTTAAGGCTCTCTTTCCGGGACCTGTAACCTAGAATTTGTGTCTGTTTTGCCCTGGGTCTCACAAGAAATTGAGGTGGTAACAAGCAGTCACATCCTTTCTGGTTTCCTGGCTCCCAGCCTCACCCTCCACAGTCTGTTCTCCCCACGGCAGCCAGGGGGAGCCTGTGAACACCAGTCAGGTCATGTCTCTCCTCTGCCTAGAACTCTCCATGGCTCCCCATCACCCTTAGAAGAAAAGCCAAGTTCCTCACTGTAGTCCACAGGGTTCTGTATAATCTACCCTGACACCTCCCTGCCCTCACCTCCTCTCTGTCCCTCTTGTTCGCTCCCCGCTCCCTGCCACCATACTGGCCTCCTCATTCTTCCTCCAACACTTCTATCATGGCTCTGCCCCAGGGCCTTTGCACAGGATATTCTCTGCCTAGATCGCTCTTCCCCCAGATCTCTGCATAGCTCCTCCTTCACCTCCTTCAGGCTTTGCTCAAATTTCATCTTCTTAGAGAGCCTTCCGATAACCTACTCCCATCCCCAATCCAAAATTGCAAACCACCCCCTGGCCCTCCCTCCCCTGCCTCCTGCTTTATTTTTCTCTAGTGCTCTAGTCACTTTCTAACATCTAATAGAATTCAATCATTTATTAGAATTGTTTCTTGTCTGTTCTTCTTATAAGGCAGCCACTAGCTACACGTGGCTATTTAATTTTAATAATTAAAAAAAAAAAGAAAATGCAGTTCCTCAGCCATACTAGCCACATTTCAAGTGCTTAGTAGCTGTGCATGGCTGTGGCTACATTATTGGACAGCACAGATGGAGAGCATTTCCATCATTGCAGAAAATTCTAGAATGTCAGTTTCCAGAAGACAGAGGTTTTGGTCTCAACACAGGGCCTGGAACACAGCAGGCACTCAATAATTGCTCGCTAACTGAATGAATGCCACAGGTGTCCCCCTGTGGTGGCTGAGTCCTGTACCTGGGGTGGCAGCTGGGGGGGCTTTGTGTCTGTGTGTCGGCTCCAGCACGTGTGTGCACATGCATGGGGCTTCAGGGTGGTGAGGCCACGTGAGCCCCACCAGGTACCCCGTGCTGCTGACACCTGCCCACGGACTGGCGGTGACTCAGTCGCTTGCGGGTGCTGCATTTATTTTTGGCTTCATTAGCATTTCTGCTGCAAGCGGTGGGTGGGTGGTGACTGGGTGTCCCCCAGCACCACTTGTCTCCCTCCGCCCTGGCTTCCACTGGCTTCAGTCTGAGACAGAATCCAGAAAAGTCCAGGACAGACCCAGGCCAGGCAACAGGGCTCCAAGCAACGTTGCTTCCTCAGTTCCTCTCCGCCTGGATCTCCCTCCACTCCTCTGACCACCTCTGCCCCTTTCAAGGATGGGCCTCCCCACTACCTGCCTCTTCTCACCCCCTCCCTGGGCCAGCTCACCCCCTCCCCACGGCTCCATTCATTTATGCATGCCAAGGAAATAAGGGTGGTGCAGTCTAGTTAGTGGCTGAGACTGACACCCTGCAGTCTGATGGCCTGGACATTTCTTATCTGGATGACACTGCGCACGTCACTTAACTTCTCCGTGTCTCAATCTCCCCTTCTGTAAAACAGGGCTTATACTTAGCCTTGTTCCACGAGGACTTATAAGCATCATGTTGTTAGCTGCCATTGAGTCAGCCCTTGACTTGCGGCAACCCCTGCATGGTGGGACAAAATGCTGACCAGTCCTGTGCCATTGCTATGATTGGCTGAGGATCGGGCCAATGGTGATCCATAGGCTTTTCATGGGCTGATTTTCAGAAGTCGATCACCAGGCCTTAATTCCTAGTTCATCTTCGTCTGGAAGCTCCGCTGAAACCTGTTCAGCATCATAGCAACACGCAAGCCTCCACTGCCAGATGGGTGATGGCTGCGCATGAGGTGCATTGGCCAGGAATCAAAGTTGGGTCTCCTGTGTGGAAAGTGAGAGCTCTACCACAGAACCATCACTGCTTCATTATAAAGACTGTAAAGATAATCATAAGGATGATACATTACATAATAAAGCGAAGTGCTAAGAACTGGCCAGGTACACACAGAAACCAACAAACGTAGCCTTTATTGACAGTTGTGCCCCTGCTCGGGGGCCGCCTGTCTTCAGGTCATCTAACTTTTATGATCATTGGGATATATGGTTGCTCACCAATATTTTCTGCCTCTCAGGTTCATTGGGAAGCTGTTTTTCCACTGACAGTGCTGCCGAAAGGCAGGGCCTTTATGACTCTTTGAAACTGAAAAAACAGGCGTGTGCAGCAAATTACTGTTTCTACAGGGTGTTGTACAAGGCATGTGCATTTCTGGTAGGGAAAATAGAAATTAAAAAAAAAATTTTTGACATATATGTCCCAGTAGACTTGGCGGGAGACTCTGCGGGGGTAGAATTAGTGGGACATGGTATATCCCTCTGGACTGTTAGGGCAGGCTTGTGGGAGGGGGCAAAAAAAAAAAAACATCCATACTACCTACCAAAAATGTAACAACACCTAATGATTCAGCATGCTTCTATTAATGAAAACACATGGTATCAACAAAAAAAAAATTCAAAGCAGAAAATAACTGGATCTTGAAAAGGTAAAGAGGATCCCACCTGGACACAGCCCAAAGGTGCCAGAGCAGGTGACAAAACCCACACCTGCTACTTCCATCACCACGACACTTTGCCTTCAAACGATGGGGCAAGTTAAAAACCAACTGTATTAATAAGAGTGTTTTACAGCTTGGAAAAAGTGCTTTTTACTTAGCTTCATTTTTTTTTTTTCCAAGCTCACTTGACCAAAAAAACCAGGATGTAAAACAAGGGCCAGAGCTGTGCAGACTGAGTTGGGGGCAGACCTGGCTTGGGGTGTTCTCTGGACTCCGCTGGCATCTAAGACTGACCGGATGTGGCTCTAGACACCGTTGAACCCTGGTAGCAATGTACCCTCCCTGAGCCTCACTTTGCTCATCTGTAAACAACTCCCGTCCGCTCCCAGGATCCACACTCCTTTCTTTGTGACTCCAGACCCCCATGATCCCCATCACTGGAATGCCAGCTCCAGGGCCTCTTGTCCTGAAGCCCTCCCTGCCCCACCTCCCTCCCTGTGGCTCTGCCTGGGGAGTGTCTGTGTCTGGCTCTGTCTCCCCCAGCCTGAGGTTCTCCGAGGGCCAGCCCTCAGCATTGCCCAGCAGTGGGGGGCTCAGAGTGGGCATGGTTAGTTGACTAAGCCCATGCGAAAACTCAAACTCTTTACCCAAAACCTCATCACTCCCACACAGTGGCCATGGTGACACACTTCTGTGCTCAAAACAGACCTAGAGCAACCTCACCTCCTGGTCTTTGCCCACGCTGGCCCCTCTGCCAGGAACACCTATTCCCCAATGAGGAATTCCCATATTCCCCACCTCCAAAGACTCCGGTCCCACTGAGAGCCCACCCTCCCAGCTCTGGCTCCTCTGGTCCCCAAGCCCTGACCACCGAGGGCTGGACTTGGCCATGAGGCTTTGGACTCACCCTCCTCCATGCTCCCCTTGGTGAGGGTCCCTGGCAGGGCTGGCTCCTCTCCTCCACTTGCTGCTTCCTCCCAGAGGCCCTCTACACCTGGGCCCCCTGCCAGGACCTCCAGATACAATTCCCTGGGGCCCAGGGAGGAGGGCAGCAGAGTGCCAGGGGGCTCCCATGGGGTGGTGGGGTCCCCTGAGGAAATGGAAGCTGCTTCATCCACAATGGCTGCAGTTGGTGTCCATGAGGGGTTGCCCTCCCACAGAGGGGCTGAGGCCCCCAATGTCCCCGCCTGGCCCTCTGCCTCTGGGTGGGATTGGAAGCTTGAGGATGCCAGTGTGGATGTGGTCAGGATCTCAAGCTTGTCCTCTGGGTCCAGGGATGTGAGTGAGGTCACCACTCTTGTATCCACAGTCAGCGGCAGGCTCAAGGCAGAGTTTTCAGCTCCTTCAGCCACATGGGATCCAGGTCCCCAAATTCCACTGGCATCTGCCGAGTCCCCCATTGCTGTGGGATCTGTGGGGCCCTCTGTGTCTCGCTCATCCACAGCTGCCTGAGGCTCCAAACTCAGGTTTCCTGCTCTGTCAAATAGGGGGAATCCAGGCATCAAGGAGGCTACAGGGCCCCCTGAGGGCAAAGCCTGGGGGTGGAGGTACAGCCCACCGCTGTCCACCTTGTCCATGGTGGCTGGCAGATTGAAGACGCCAGACTCAGACCCCAAGACATCTCTGGCCACTATTGGCTCAGCAGTGGTCTCAGCAGGGGTGAAGCCAGCTGCTACATTCTTGCCCATGGAAGCCCACGGGCTGGGGCTGGGGTGCTCAAGTTTGCTGAGTCGAGCAGGGCTGGTCCCCACAACTACCCTGGCATCAGCACTGGTAGAGCTGGTGATGGCTCTGGCTCCTGGGTCTATGACTTCCTGCGACGGGGCCGGGGAGCTTCCTGCTCTGTGGCCGCTGAGAATCAGAGATGTCACCTCTTCACTCTGTCTTGGGGGGGCCAAGGAGGGAAACTGGGGAGATGTCCCTGGGTTGCTGAGGCTTTGGGGGCTGGCCTCAGTTTCTGAGGCAGGGGCAGGTGGGAAAGCAGCTGTGGGCTCACCATGCCCCTCAGCCCCAAGGCCCTCAGAGGGGACAGGTGTAGGGGGTAGAAGGAGCCATGGCTTGGAGTCACGCAGCATGGCCATGACAGGGAAGTCCAGGGAGGTAGCCATGAGGGAGGCGTCCTGGGGTTCAGTGCTGGGGCTGAGAGCCAGGGTGGGGGCCTCTGAGGAGGGCCAGGGCCTGGTGGAGGCAGCTGGCCTCACGCTGGGTTCCTTGGCTTCGAGTTCCAGGCCAATGGGCGGGATTGCAGTCGGAAGCCATATCCAGGGCTGTGGGGAACTCCTGCCACCAGGGGATTCTGAAATGATATTAACAACAGTAATAATAATTATCTCAGGGCAGCTCTAGGACAGCTCCTTCTATTGAGTATCACCAAGGACGGGAGATTCAGAGCCTACTCCCCATCCTGACGGTGGCCACATCTTCCCACACTCAGACCCCCAGTTGGGTTCCCTGGACCCCGACTCACGGGCTCCATGTCCATCCACCTCATTGGTCAGGATGTCCCAGGGGCTTGGGTTGGCTGAGGCTTCGGTGGCTTCCATGGCCCGGGGAGGCTCCACGTGGTTCCCTGTTGCCTCCGGGGTTGGGGGCAGGATGCTAGCCTCCAGCCCCTCATCCAGCCCTTGCTCCAGCTCCTGCTGCTGGAAGTGGCGCCCATTCAGCCCTTTGAAGCGCCCCTTCCTCCTGGGCGTGGGGCCTGCCAGGGGGGCCTCGGTGTGGGTTCCCACCACAGTACCCTCTTGGCTGCTAGGGCTGAGGGCCGCTGTGCTCAGCCATGCCTCCTCGGCCTCTAAGGAGGGCATGGAGGCCCAGGCCAGTGTGGGGGCCCTAGGGGCAGGGCTGGGGGTCTCTCGGGACTCCTGCTTCTCCGTCAAGATCAGGGGCTCTTCTTCCCCACTGGACACCAGAGGCTCCTGGAAGTCAGGGGTGACTGGCTCCTCCTCCCCCAGGCTGGGCTCCATTTCTCTGGCTGGAGGCCCCTCTGCCGACAGAATCTCCCCCTCATCCCCAGACGAGGGGGTGTCTGGGTCTCCATGTTGTGGTGGGGGGTGATGAGCTGTGGGAGAAAACAGAAGAGGTTGTGTTAGGCCCAGGACTGGATAGGAAGTTCTGCCTGAAGTCTACCCACATTGCAGCCTGCTGCAGCACAGTCCTATGCATCTCTGAGTCTGTCTCTCTCTGTCTTTCTCATTGGTCTCTGGTAAACCCCAGCCTCAGAGAGAGTGAAAAGTTATCACCCCACTGTTCAGGCTGGGGCCCACCTGAGCGCTCTGTCAGGGTCAGAGGTAAGTGGTCATAGAAGGGGGTCACAGAGACATTTCCAGCTCCCAGGAGTGTGGGTCAGCCGGTGGAGGGTTGGACTAAGTCCTGGGCCATGGCTCCGTCCCCTCTCCACTTTTAGGGCATGGCCTTCACAGGCTGGGGCGCTTACAGAAGGGACATGACTCCTGGGCGCTGAGCTTTGCAACTTCCCAGCCTGTGGACTCACCCCAATAGCTGGGATGGCTGGTTGCGCCCTTCGGGGCGTATTTGGTCTCATGGGGGCGTGGCCTCTCACCGGGGGTACTACGGACATGCCCCCAGGTAGGCAGCGGCTTCCACAGCCAGGCCTTGGATATGGCTCCAGCTAGGGTGTGGTCTTGCAAGGGGTGTGGCCTTACTGGGGGCATGGCTTCACCTGTTTTCACGTGGCTCTCTCCCCAGGACTTGGCTTCCACCAGGATCTCAGGGGCGTGACCTTTCAAGCGGCATATCCTCCGGGTGTGGGCAGTAGGGGGTAGCTCCCTCAACGAGCATGGGTTTTAAAAAGGGGTGTGGTATCTGGGTCCAGTGTTCTAGAGGTTACAGCCCTCATAGGACGTAGCATCTGCTGGTGTGGTCACCAGAAGAAGCACCATCCTGGGGTGTGGCATCTGGGGCTGTGGCTACAAGGGTAGCACCATTATGGGGCATTGCCTCCCTGGGCCTGTCCTACCCGATTACAGCCTCATGAGAGGCGTGGCATCAGAGGCTGGCTACTAAGGTTAGCGCACCCATCTGGCCTAGATTTTACAAAAAGGCTGGGCACCTGCAGGCATGGCTACAAGTCGTAGCGCCCTCCCATAGAGCCGTGCTCCCTGGAGTTTATCTTTCTGGGAATGTCCTCTGGGGCATTCTCCCTGGCTGTGGCCTCTGGGCGTGACTGTCTTGGAGAGCACAGACTTCTGGGCGTGGCCAGTGTGGGAGTGTGGCTAAGAGGATAGCTTCCCCCCATGGGGCATGGTCCATGGGACTTATTTTAATCGGTCATGTCCTTTTGGGAAGGAGCCCTGGTGGCCCAGTGGTTACGTGCTGGCTAATAGCCAAAGCGTGGGTGGTTTGAACCCACTAGCTGCTCCGCAAGAGAAAGATGTGGCAATCTGCTTCCGTAAAGATTAAAAAATGGACAAACAAACCCGTTGCTGTCGTATCGATTCCGACTCATAGCCACCCTACAGGGCAGAGTAGAACTGCCCCATAAGAGTCTCCAAGGAGCGCCCGGTGGATTACGAGCTCGCAACTTTCTGCTTAACAGCTGTAGCACTATAACCACTACTCCACCAGGCTTTCCTCCGTGAAGATTACAGCCTTGGAAACCCTATGGGGCAGTTCTACTCTGTCCTATGCAGTCAATTATGGGTTGGAATTGACTTAACGGCAACAGGTTTGGTTTTGGGCTCTCCAGTCGCTTGGCCAGCAGGGGGCGTGGTCATCACTGGGGCGTGGCCGCCATCGAGGGGCGTGGGTGTGAGCATCACGGAGGGGTGTGCCCGATGGGGGCTTATTCTAATAGGTCACGGCCTTTTGGGGCGTGGCCGTTGCCAGGACGGGCTGTATTCACCTCGGAAGCAGTAAGCGTCGAAGCGCGAGGCGGGCGTCGGGAAGCCGGTGCGGTTGGCGAAGCGGTAGACGGTACGCACGCCCGGGACCGGGCCCCCGCAGCGCCGGCGCGGCGTCTGGATCGGGTAGCGCACGCTGCCGTCAGCCAGCCAACCTGGGTCGCACTGGTCCAGGCCCTCGTGCCAGGCCAGGTGCAGCTGCCCCACCGAGGCTAGCGTGGCGCCCTGGCGGCGGCACTGGGCACGCGCTCCGGCCAATGTCAGGCGGCGGGCCGGGCCCACGTAGAAGACTTCGCCTGCGGGAGGGGCAGCGGGGGTCAGGCCGGGCCGGGGACCCTCCCCCTGCTTGGGAAGAGGGTCCCACTCCAGTCCAAATATCCCTGACCTGGCTGGGTTTGGGTGTGTGTTTAACCACGCCGCGACAACTGCTGCGGTGCGGCCAGCTCACCCAAGCATCCTTGTCCTCTTACGCAGCGCTAAAAAGAGAGGGCTTAGCCTCTTTTTACAAATGAAGTAATTCAGGCCCCTGAGCAAGTCGGGCTACAAAGAGGCGGAGGAGCTCAGTGAGGGAAAGGGGACTCACAAAGAGGGAAGGGATTCAGAGAGGGTTGGCGCTCACAGGAAGAAGGCTCTGAGAGGGAGAGGGGGCTCAAAGAGGGGGAGGGGCTCATAGAGGAGGATAGAGATCAGAAAGGAGGAGGTGACTTGGAGAGGGGGACTCAGGGGAGTAGAACTCAGGTCTTAGCTGCAGGGTGAAACTCAGGAGAGGTGGGCACTCAGGGAGAGATGGGGGTAGGGAGGGTATCCGGAGCTCAGAGGTGCTTTGGGGTGGTCCTCCCAGCCCCAGACTTACCCCCCAGCTCACGGGCAAAGCAGTAAACATCGTAGAGTTCCTGTGGGTCTCTCCGCCCATAGCTCCGCACTCCTGGAAGGCTGCTGCGGTCGCCGTAGCAACCAGGACGGGACTGGGTGATAGGATACCTGATAAGACAAGGGGAGGTCCCTCTCAGGTGTGTGCTACTGGGGCCTCCAAGGACCTTCTTTCCCCAGGGGTTAGCCTCCCATCTTCCTATGCCGTGTCCCCTCTCACCGAACAGTACGGTCAGAGAGCCAGCCAGCATCACAGTTGTCGAAGCCATCCTCAAAGGCAGCCTGTAGGTGCCTTGGGGCTGCAATGGTGGCCGAGCTGAGATGGCAGGCCTCCTGGGCCTCGGCAAAGGTCAGCGCATAGCGGTCCCCGGCTGCCCGGTAGTGGAACACAACGCCTGCAAGGGGAAGAACAGGATGGGGGACCACTCATGCTGGCATCTTAAATAATATACCTCCTCCTTTGCTGAATGATCACCCTAGTCTGATAGTAATAGACCTGCTGCCCTACTGTGTGCCCTGTACCACATTCATTCACTCAGCACCACGCACAGTGCTAGGGTGATGGTGGGGGCAAAGCTGATATGCCCCCATTTTACAGATGAAGAAACTGATAATAATGACCCTTAAAAACAAAAAATCTAACCCGTTGCCATCCACATGGTGACCCCATGCGTGCAGAGCAGAACTGCCCCATAGGGTTTTCTTGGCTGTAATCTTTACGGAGGCAGATCGCCAGACCTTTCTTCTGCAGTACCACTAAGTGGGTTCAAACCACCAACCTTTAGGTTAGTAGTTGAGTGCAAACTGTTTGTGCCACCCAGGGACCTTAATAATTGCCATAAAGGGTTAGAGTTTATCAAATATTTACTATGTGCAAAGCATTTATAAGCATCATATTCTTCAAATCTTACACAAATCCTATGAGTATCCCCATTTTCCAGAGGAAGACACTAAGGCTCAGAGAGGTTGAGGGACATGTTCACGGTCATACAGCAAGTATGAAGCAGAGCCAGAATTCAAATCCAGGACAATCTGACTGCAAAGATGTCACCTTCCATGACCAGAGGTAGGCCCTAGAGATGACAGGAGGCATGGAGAAGGGATTCTGCCTTTTAGGAATTAAGGGCATGCCCTGATGGGGAAAGCACAGGCAGCAATGGGAGGCCAGTTCTTGCCCAGACTGGGGATGGAGTCACAGAAGGCTTCCTGGAGGAGGTGGCATGTAAGTCAGGCCAGGAAGCATCAATAATGGCTCACTGTGACTCAAAAGGGATGAAAGAAATGGATGAGCAAAAAAAGGAATTAAATATTATGCTCCATCTTATCAGACTGAGTGCTCCCAGAGGGCAGCAGCTGATCCCATCCATGGCATGTCCTCAGCACTGGGCTGGCACGTAGTAGGTGCTCAAGAAATGTTTTGTTGAGTGAATGAAACAACCTCAGATGTGGGATTCACTGCCTTTGCCACCTATCAGTTTTCTTTGAGGTCTGTTGGTTTTGAGAAGGGAGGCCTTTGGAAGGGGGATGGTGGGCCAACTCCATAAAATATGCAGTGAGACATTGTTTGGTCTCACCATCCCAGGTTCACAGGTGGGAGGACATTGAGCCCCAGGGGGTGGGTGCAGAGACTTACTCAAGATCACACAACAGGTTAAGGGAAGTTAGCTTCCTAGCAGGAGTCCGTGGAACACTTTCCACACAACAATCCATTGGCTGCATTGTTCATCCAATATTTATTTATTGAGCACCTACTGTGAGCCAGGCTGTGTTCTGGGGATTTCCTTTAATTTTTTTTTTTTTTCTTTTTTTGCCTTGTCTATCTTGATCACTTAGGAAAACAGAAAATACACTGGATATTTCAACAGAGAGAATTTAATATAAGGAATTAGTTAAACAGGTATTAGAGGACTGTTATTTACATAATATATATTTTTAATCAGCTTGCTTTTTTAAAAATAGCCTCGCTTTTTAAAAAGTTAAATAAATTTATTTAAGGAACATTTTATATTCTTATTTTATTAAGCATATTCACTTATGTGGATTTTAAGAACCCAACCCATTGCCGATGAGTCAACGGAGTAGAACTGCCCCATAAGGCTTCCAGACATCACCACACGGAGCAGCTGGTGGGTTTGAACCGCTGACCTTTCGGTTAGCAGCCAAGCTGCTTAACCACTGTGCTCTACCAGGGATCCTGCTATATTCTTGTTTTAAATTAAAAGCCAATATCCTTTGCCTTACATAAAACTATTGTTAGCTGCTGTCAAGTCAGCCCCTGACGCATAGTGACCCCATGCACAACACAGCAAAATGCTACCTGGTCCTGTGCTATCCCCATGATTGGTTGTGGATCAAACTGTTGTGATCCATAGGGTTTTCATGGGATGATTTTCAGAAGCAGATCACCAGACCTTTCTTCCTAGTCCATCTTAGTCTGGAAGCTCTGCTGAAACCTGTTCATCATAGCAACATACAAGCCTTCACTGACAGACAGGTGGGGGCTGTGCATGGGGTGCATTGGTTGGGAATGGAACCTGGGTCTCCTGCGTGGAAGGTGAGAATTTTACCACTGAACAACTGATACTATATAAAGTTAAACCCACAGATGTTAAGTTGATTCCGACTCATAGTGACCCCATAGAGTTTCCAAAGTTGTAAATCTTTACAGAAGCAGACTACCACATCTTTCTCCTGTGAAGCTGCTGGTGGTTTCCAGCTGCCGACCTTTTGGTTAGCAGTCGACCACTTTTAACCACTGCACCACCAGGGATCCCTTATATAAAGTTAGGTAACCACAAAATAGACTTACAACAAGGGGATGAAATCCTTCCTAGATACTATGGCCTGTGGGAGACTGAGTTGGAGGCTGTTCTCTTGACTAAAAGAGAGTGGTGTTAAAGGCATGTTAGTACCCACAGGGACCTTCTTTGTGACTCCATCAGAGGAACCAAAGGGGATCACTGTTTAGGGCACGTTTCTAAGACGCCAAACCGTGGGTGGGTCTCTGGATTAGCCCCTCCCCCTTCTGGCCCTAGCCCCACCCCCACCCCAACTGACCCGTCACCTCCAGGGGCACCAGATCCTGCTCATCCTCGATGCCCCGCACCACCTGGCAGCGGTACAGCCCGGAGTCGCTGGCCCTCAGTGGCCCCAGCAGCAGCGTGGCATTGGCACGGCGCCCAGGGTAGGTGGGCAGCGACACACGTCCTTGCCAGCCTTTGGCCACCCGCACCACATTGTCCTTGGCCACCAGGATGGGCACGTCCTGTCGCTGGCCAGACGCCGTCCGCACCTTGGTCCACTTAATCCGAGGGGCATCTCGGGCCATGCCTGGCTGGGGCCGCAGGGTGAAGAGGCAGGGCAGGGCCACCAGCTCTGCCAGTGCAGCCCGCACCGACCCCGACCCCACCTTCTGCATGTGGAGCCCCTTCTCAGCATCCTGTGTGCCTGGGAGGGAGGAGGCAGAGAAAGGGCCTGACTCAAAGGTGAGGACCAGAGAGACTGCTACTTCCCTCATTTCACAGATGGGGAGACCGAGGCCAGGGAGGCCAGGCTGCCTACACGATGCCACAAAGCAGTGACAGGTCTATGAGTTTCATCCAAGCGGAAGGAGAGCAATAGGGTCAGACTCATTTATGGTCCTGCCTCCACTCAAAGTCTAGATCCGGGAGGCCTCTTTGTATGGGAACAGGGGTAAGGAGACATGTTTGAGACCCAGTGTCACTTTCCATCTCTTAGCCTCGGTTTCCCCAACAGTTAAGCAAGGGGCAGCCGTGGATAGGAAATGCTGTTTTGGGGTATTTTCTATATGCCAGGCACTTTATAGCAATCAGCTCATTTAATCTTCTTAACCATCTATAGAGGTAGTGATGTAGCATCCTCTTTTTAGTAGGTTGTAGAATCTGAGGCTCAGAGAGGTGACACCACTTGCCTAAGGCCACACAGCAGATCAAGGAGGGATTTCCAAAGCCTGGCCTTTTGACCACCACTCCCTTTCTATTGCCCAACCTGTGGCAGATATCACTAATCAATCTCGGAACTAATCTCACCTCATCTGTCTTTATCTCTCTGTCTAGCTCATATCAGCAAAGAGGCAGGAACCTCAGCCTCCGCTGGCAATGACTAAAAATAATGTCTCATGTGTCTGGTTCACTTTTGACTGTTCAAAGACCTTTTTCATCTATTCATTCTATTCTCTGGACTAAGCCAGGGAGCCAGCAGGAGAAGGCTCTGGAGTTAAAACGCATCCCCAGCTTGTCAACCCCACCAGGCCCCAGCCCCTCCCTCCCTGCAAGCCAACTCACCCTGTTCCCCAGCTACAAGCAGCAGCACCTGGAACATCAGGAGGCCCGTGGCCCAGACAGACATGACCCCCATCCTGGACCTGGAACGAGATGGAGAGGGAGGCGGGGGAGGATAAGCCACAGCAGGACCCTCCCAGCCTCTGAGAATGGGAAGCCAGGGCTCAGAGAGACCAATGAGTCACTCAAGGTCACACAGCGAACAAGCAAGGGCTGAGCTAGGATTCAAACCCAGGAACAGCTGGCTTCAGAGTCCGAGCAGTGATGCCTCATGGTCAGAAGCATGGAGTGAGTCGGACATGGGGTTGTCTCTCTGCCTCTTCCTTGCTGTGTGACCCTGGGAAAGTAGTTTAATCTCTCTGTGTCTCAGTTTCTTTGTGGGTCAAATGGGAATAATATCAGGTGGTTGAAGGGAAGAGATGAGTCAATGCATTTAAAATGCTTTAAGGTGCCTGATATGAAGCAATAAATTTCAGCTGCCATTATTATTATCGACCTTCACATAGACCAGATAGGGATCCCATTTTTCAGGTTGGCCTCCCCCATCAGACTGGGGGCTCCTGGAGGGAAGCAGCCAGCCCCAGTCCTCCCTGGGTCCCCAGGCTTTAAGCTGGGTCTGCTGAGTGACACGATTCTCAGCTTCAATTCCAGGATTTGGTTGTCGCCAGGATTCTATTCTTGGTTACTGGGATTTTTGAGGTGTTGCCAACTCCCAGATGGAAGAGGGGGCCTTGCCCCAGCCCACCCTACCCTCCCTGACTTCTCAATGCCTGGCGAGGGTGCCTCCACAGCCCACAGAGAAACCTCAGCCGTGGGGCCAGCCCTGTATAGGGGCTGTGGCCTATGAGCATACACTGGACAATTATTGAGTGCCTACTCTGTGCAAGCCCCACTCCAGGCAAAGGGGCTATGGCAGTGTCCTCCCAGACCTCGTATTCTGACAGGGACTGGGACTCTGGGCAGGTGGCCCCTTCCCAAAGCTCCCTACCCCTCTAGCCTCCCCCTCACAGAGCCAGGCTCAGGAGGTGGGGCAGAGGAGAAATGAGAACATCATGTGCAAGCCCAGCCATTGCACACACACAACCCTGTTAAAAGATTAGCCCTGAGGAAAGCTGAGGATGGAGCCCCAGAATTGGGGCTGTGCAGGACAGCTGCCCCCTCCCCAGCTCCCAGAGGCCAGGGATAGGAGGCTGGGAGGGACCTGTCCGTGGTGCTGAACTCTCAAGGGCACTTCAGCAACACAGCCCACCTGGTTCGGCCCATCCCGCTTAACCACACATGGGGCACAGAGAGGGCTAGCGACTTGCCTCAGGTGACACAGCAGGGTGACACAGTGGCAGAGACCAGGCTACGGATTAGTGCTCCCAACTACCAATCGGTGAACCTCAGCACTTTCTGCCTCCATTCCAGGCTGTCCTCAGTTCTCCCTTGGGGAACCCAAGCAAGTGGGGTCCCCTGATGGCTGGTCAGGCCTGGCCGGGCATTACGGGATTGGGATGGGGCAGGACTCTTGGCTGTGACTGCCGCAGGAGGGCCTTAGAAGGGGTGAGGTCAGGGAATTCACACACTCACATTTGTACACACATACACTCTCACACACACATGCACACGTGTTCACAACTTTCTCACACACACGCACACACTGACACATCCATACTCACACTTTCATACACACACTGACACATGCTCACACATGCACACATATTCACACTCACACATATGCACACATTCACACAAGTCTCACACCCACACACTCATGCCTCTACTCCTTACATGCTTGGTGACCTTGGACAAGCTGCTTCATCACTCTGTGCCTCAGTTTCCCCATCTGTAAAATGAAGATACTCCAGTACCTACCTCATACGGTTATCTAGGGGATGAAATGAGTTAAGACTTTAAGGTCTTAGAAATGTTAAATTTAACAGCAGCCTTGTGTGCACAGTGCCTCGTGCGCCCATCCAAATATATCAAGCTGCACAACAGTGACAGACAGAATTTCAGGGGCACGCCCCCTTCCCTACACCCAGGCCCTCTCTCAGTCCCCACTCCAACACTTACCCTCACAAAAACACACCCCTTCTCTCAAAACACCTCCTCCCAGGGCCGCCAGAGGTGAGCATTTACACAGCTGTCTGGGGCTCATCCCCTCATGAATAATGTATGAGCCTCATACATATGCAAGTAGGGGTTGCTGGGCGCTGGGCACTGGGGGAGGGGTAGCCTTAGATGGTATGTGTGTGTGTCTCGCTGACACCCACTCCTGTCTGGGTAGGTTTGGCAGTGGCTGTTTTTGTGTGTTTGTGGTGGGTGTGCTTCTGGGGTGTGTGTGAGGTTGTGCCCTGGGGGCCTGAGGATGTGTGAGCGGTGGTGGAGGGTAGGGAGGCAGCTCCCTGCACTGGTGGGGCGTAAGAGACCTCTGTGCTTTCTCTCTGCACGTGCGGGTCTGAACGCCCCTGGTAGGGGCTAGGCGCACACGCGTGTGTTCTGGCCAGTGAGTCTGTGTGCATTGTGTGCCTGGGTGTGAAGGTGGAACAACTTGCAGGAGAAAGAAAGCCAAGCCATCAAACATCCCAGGGTGCCCCTTGGGGGGGCCCCACGTGCTAGCTCCTCAACTCCACACACAGGCCACATTCCACATCCCCTACACCCAAGGGCCACAGTACCAGCCCACGGAGAGGGGCCTCTCCATACACACGGGGACACATGCAGCCACATGGCAGACACAGACCCGCGAGACAGATTCACAGGAACGTTAACAAAGAGACAATACAGGGACTCACAGGCACATCTTCGGCACAAAGACACACACCCTCAGGCTCACGCCCCCTAAGTAAACCCCTTGATGAGCCTTGCACAATCAGACACAGCTTCTTACACACGTATGCACATGCAAACACATGGCTTTGCCAGCCCCTGGCACGGCCCGGCTGGAGAAATGTGGCCTTGGTGACCGGCAGACACACACCATTTTGCCACCTGGCGACGTGGGCCCAGCACAAGTTTCCTGACAAAGACACAACCTCAGTCCCATCAACTCAGAGAGGACCCCAGGCCCCCTGGGCACCTGCCACCCCATCAGGCAGACACACAAAGCCTCCACCTCCTGGGGGGGTGCATTCCATTTGAGGATGACCATGAGCCAGTGAGGGTGCTGGGACTCCAGTGTCCCATGACTCACAGACCTCCTACTGCTCCCCGTCCATCCCCCCCCACACCCTGTGCTCCCCGCTGGGGCCGATGCCAACCCTCTCCTGGCCTTCCTCTCCCATTAATGCTGCTGAGAGGAACAAAGCCCCGTGCGAGGGGCTGGGGTTCGCTCCTGCCCAGGCTGGTCCTGTGGTCCCAGTCCCCACTTCCCAGAGCCTGTGTCCCCAAACCAAACAAGCCAGGGCTTCCGCACCCGTCTACATGGACAGAAGGAATGAAGGGGCAAGGCAAGGGGCTGTGTCCTGCTGTGAGCACGTGGGCAGATGAGGAGGTGCTGGTTTGACCCCCCTCTCAGGGATGGGTGCCCCTCACAGCTTCTGAACATCCAGTGCTGTGTCCCTACACAGTACACGCCTGGGAAGACCTACTATATTCCCTGGGGGAGGGGACAACACCCCAACTCTAGGTCCGAGAGAACAACGAGGACCTCCTGGGAATGGGGTCCCCCAGCGCCTCCTCCCTGAGTCAGGATGCGATGACTGGGGCCGGCCCAAAAGGGCAGGGAAACTATGGGGTGCCCCTTCCCCCACGCGGGGGTCTCATTCATTTTCAGCACAGACACCCTCCATCCCTCTCAGGATGATCTTGGGGGCCCCCTCCCCGCTGCAGTCTTGCCTGGGATCCTCCATTCAGCCTCAAATTGGGAATCCCCACTTAAAATCTTGGGGTGCCTCAGCTAATCCAGGGGGTGCCTCATTCCGAAGTCCCCCACCCAGCATCTGGTTCTCTCCAAACTCGGGGTGCCCCTCCCCCAGGGCCTCCTCCCTAAACCAGAGACCCACTCCCATCCTGGCCCCTTCCCTACCCTGGGGTCGTCTCTGCATTCCCCGGACAACCTCCCCCTAAACCCCTTTCCCTCCCTTCGCCCCGACATTCCCAAGCCCGCTCCCACCCCAGCCGGGGTTCCCCTCCCCCACCAGCCCCCTCTCCATCCCGGGGGCTTCTCCCTGATGCCAAGTCCCCTCCCCAATCCCGAGCGCAGTCTCCAATCACGAGGTCCTCTGGCCCAGCGCGACCCCCTCCCCACGCCGGAGCCCCCACCTGGCTCCTAGCTCGGACTCATCTCCGGGGCTGCCGCCCCGCACAAAGGACGCTCGGGCTCTGCTCGCTCTGCGCGGGGTCCAGCCCCTGCACCCTGCGATTCACTCGCCTCAGCGCTGCCTCAGCGGCTTATAAAGGGGCTGCGAGGCTGCGCTGCGCATGCGCCCCCTCGCCAGCCAGAGGCAGCCGGCGGCGTGAGGAAAAGAGCTTCCCTGCCTAAAATCCCCCCCTCTTCGACCGCTCACCCCACCTAGGGAGAAGCCGCGCTTGGTTTTCCCCATCCAGCCTGCACCAGGATCCTCGTTCAATGTCCCCATCAGGCCCCGGGGTGGGGCCAGCTCCATTTTACAGGTAGGGAGACTGAGCCCCTGAGAGGCAGAGTGGCTTCCCAAGGTCACGCAGATGGAGAGGGCGGAGCTAGGATTAGAACCCTGGCCTGCCTGGCGCCCCAGGGCTCACGCTCCAAGGAGTTTTGGCTACAATTATTGTTTTACCCCATTTACAGTACAGAAAGAGTCCCTGGATAGTGCAAACAGTGAATGCGCTAGGCTGCTAACTGAAAGGTTTGAGGTTCGAGTCCACCCAGAGATGCCTGGGAAACAAGGCCTGGCGACCTACTTTCGTAAAATCAGCCGCTGAAAACCCTATGGAGCACAGTTCTACTCTGACACACAGGGGGTCCAGTGAGTCCGAATCAATGGTTTACTGGTATAGTCGAGGAAACAGAGGTTCAAAGAAGGTAGGGACACCCCTAGTCCCCCAGTTGGTAAGAGACGCGCATTCCTTCATCTGGTCATTATTGCCAACCACCAGTACGTACTGTTGCTGGCACAGGAATGTACTTGCTTTGGGCAGAGGGCATGTGTGTACCCTGAAGGGGGAGACCCCCATCTGGAAATGTCGAGATCCGCATGATGGAATATTATTCAGTCCTAAAAAAGAATGAACTTTATCAGGGGCAGGAAGGAGGGTGAGTGGGGGGGGGTAGTTATTGTTTAGGAAGCAATGAGTTTTTGTTTATGGGGATGGAAAATTTGGCAAAGGACATTGGGGATGGCTGCACAACATGATTGATGTAATTGATCTCACTGAATTGCATACGTGAAAAATGTTGAACTGGCAAATGTGGTGTTACCTATGTTTTTAATAACAGTTTCAAAAGGAATGAAGCACTAATACGTGCTACAGTGTGGATGAACCTCAAAAACATTACGCTCAGTGAGGGAAGCCACACATAAAGACCACACGCTGCATGATTCCATTTATATGAAATGTCCAAACCCAAACCAAACCCATTGCTGTTGAGTCGATTCCCACTCATAGTGACCCTACAGGACAGAGTAGAACTGCCCCCTAGGGTTTCCAAGGAGCGGCTGGGCTGGTGGATTCAGACTGCCCACCTTTTGGTTAGCAGCCAAGCTCTTAACCACTACACCATCAGCGCTCCATGAAATGTCCAGAGCAGAGACAAAAAGTGGGTATGGCGGAGGGGGAATGGAGAGTGACTATTAATGAGTATGAAGCTTCCTTTTGGGGTGATGAGAAAGTTCTGGAACTAGATAGAGGTGATGGTTGCCCAACACCATGAATGTGCTCAATGCCATTGAAACGTGCACGTTACAATGGTTAAAATGGTGAATTTTAATGTTATGTGAATTTTATCACAGTAGAAAAAACCATGGAAACAAGAAAAAAAGCCTAGAGGGTTCAGCACGATAGCCCCCACTACCCCCCTTTCCCTTGACCTTGACCTCAGTCTCTCCACACAAAGAATGAGCTACCCTGGCTGAAGGCTCCATGAGGTCCTGCCCCATACATGTCCTGCATCTGTGGGTCCCAGTAGGCTGGAGGGACAGATAAAGGAGGACAGGAGAGTTTCCACAAAATGACTGAAGCTGGGGTGGGGATGGAAGAAGGATGAAGGGCTCAAGGCATCTGTGAGCGTCCGCCTGTCATGTGTGGATGAGCCCACTGAATCCCTTGGCCAACGGGCCATACCCGGAGGTGTACCCACAGAGGAGGGTCTTAGGGTTGCCGCATCACGGGGGTTGGGGTCACAGGTGGTGTCAGTGACTGAGGGTGACTGCTAACCAAGGTCACACCAAGCCACCAATACCCACCTATGGTTGGCCGACTGACTCAGTGGCTGGTGGGAAGGGAGAGGTGAGAGGCTGGATGTGGTTGCATGGCTGCATGGTTATGTGGTTTTGTGAGGTCATGTGACTACATGGTCATGTGACTGAGCATAGTCCTGTGGTGGATGTGGTTGTGTGATGTGTGTGGTTTGTATGATGTGTGTGGTTGTGTGACTGTGGTAGTGTGATGTGTGTGATTGTGTGGTTGTGTGATGTGTGGAATTATGTAACTGGCTTCACACTTGTGTGGTTGTGTGAGTGTATGGTTGTGTGGCTGTGTGTGGTTGTGTGATGTGTGTGGTTGTGTGGCTGTGTGATGTGTGAGTGTGCATGGTTGTGACTGTGCAGTTGTGTGGCTGTGTGAGGGTTGTGATTGTAACTGTATGGTTGTATGACTGTGACTGTGTGTGGTTGTATGGCTGCATGGTTGTGTGACTGTGTGTGGTTGTGTGGCTGTGTATGGGAATCCAACAGCTCGGTCTCTACAAGCCCAGGGTCCAAACCCCTCTGCCCCTCATAGCAGTGTCTCTGGGTGAGCCATGTGATTTAGCTGTGCCTCAGTTTCCCCTTCAAAATTTTGATAATTAACGATCCCCACCTCAGAGGGTCTGTTGGGAGAATGAAATGGGAAATAAACACATAGCCCATTTTTCAGCTGGGGAAACAGGCTCTGGGGAAGGGCCACTTGCGAGGTTGCACAGCACACCTAGAGACGGTGGGAGCCCAGGTCTGTGGCCACAGAGCCCAGCTTCCTCCCTCTCGCCGAGGCCGGCGCCAGGGCTCAGCTCTGAGGGGCTGGCCTGGGGCCCAGAGTAGGCTGTTGCCGGGGGCTTGAATAGAGGGGACCAGCCTGGGAATCTGCTGGATTCAAAGAGCTATTTATAGGCCTGTGCTGGGATTTGCCCAATCCCCCCCCACCACAAGGCCTTGGTCCCCTCTATTTTCCCCCCACACTGGGGCCCGGGCCAGGGGCTGCTGTGGCAGGGAGGAGATGGGGGAAGGGGCTGGCGGTCATACTCAAGGAAATCTGGATCTCAGGGCGGACAGTATGGCCCTGAGTGCCTCTGACACACCCAAGGTAACAGGTGGATGCGTAGATGCATCACACTCAGCCACGTATATACAATGTCACCCACAACTGACACCCAGTCACACCCTCAGCCACACAGCAACAGCATGTCAGCATCTCATACATCCACACCCAGACACACAAGCATCACTCCATGCATAAACAAACCTGCAGCTGTGACCTCAAGTCACACCTCTGGCCCTTCTGCACTTACACCCACCACCATCCACACCAGCCACCCCACGGCCACCATGCTGTTCATTCATAGCCATGTTTACAGCGTTGGCACACCTGCAGATAACTCGCACATGACCATGTTCAGTGGACACTCGATGTCATCAGCCACTGTGGTGCGGTCACTCCCAGCCACACAGTCACAGTACAGCCACTCCATACCCAGCCACACTCACAACCACAGTCACACCTCACACCCACATGTCATCTCCATGTTTGCAGAGACACCAGGCTTGCCTGCAGGGCCAACACTCCCAAACTGTCTACTCTTAGCTGGGGGTACTGTGGGGGACCCCTGTCATGCCCTCTCCCACACTTGCTCACTGCCTTGTGCAGACTGCAGACTGAGACCTCGGGGAAACCATTACCCCCATCCCCAGAGGGAAACTGAGACTCAGAGCTCTCAGAGGGCCTTCCTGCCACTCCAGGAAGATGGGTTCAGGGACAGTGGGCATGTCCCCAGGAGCAGTTGACTGGAGAGTCCCTGCTGCCCCAAACTTGCTGTGTGACCTCCAGCAAGTGTCTGATCCTCTATGAGCCTCCATTTCCTTAAATGCAGAGCTCAGCCCAGCAGAGGGAACTTTTGAATCAGACTGGAGTTCAAAAGCCGGTTCCCCCAGGTGACCTTGGCCAAGTGACTTTGCTTCTTTGTGCCACCTGAGTTTCTCCCATGAACCAGAGGAGCTGCTGCTGGCCCTTCTAGAGCTCCCCATGCCCCGTCCCCTGGGAAGGGGAGGGTAGCTTGGCTTCTTCTCCATCCAGGCAAATGAATGGGCCACTTCTGGCTGCCCTGCTGGGAGACCAGGCGCTAATTCCCTGGAGAAACAGGAGGCTCTTTCATGCTGGGGAGCCAGTGGGGTGAGGAGACAGGAAGAGGGTGCGGAGCTGGCCTCCTCCCAGTGGCAAGGCGGCCCCATGCCAAGGCTGGGCATGGCAGGGAGGGCTGTGGGGGCTGTGCATACCCTCACTGGGGACCTTGGCCTAGTCGCTGCATCCTCGTTGTAAACTGGGGGGTGGCAATGGGAATAGCCACTGCAGGGTCCACGAGCCAGGGAGTGGAAATGAAACTCAGCTTGGAGTCCCAAACACAGCAGGCTCTCAACAAATGTCACCACTGTTATTATGTGTCAGCCTGAGGAGCCCACGCACAGAATCCTCCAACAGTCCTGTAAAGAGAACCGCCCCCATTTTACAGATGAGGAAACTGAGGCTCAGAAAGATCAAGACACTTGTCCAAGGTCATGAAGCTGGCCAGTGGCCAAGCCAGGATTTGAACCACATCTGGCCCCTCCAGGGTCCATGTTCTTCTAACTGCCTTTCTGGGGGTGGGGGTGTTTCTTGCCACCCCCAGCCCCAGCCCTGAGTCCAGCATAGCTGGGTCTGGATGGCACCAGACCATGTTTGAATGCAGGAAGACCTGGCAGGCAGGGCTGGATGGAGCAGGCCCTTCTGCTGGTGACCCAGTTTCCCAGGCAGCCCTCTCTCCAGGGGTGAGTTTGAGCAGACATTAGTAGGATGCCAGAGGACTGCTCCCCCAGCCTGTGAAGGCAGGGGCTGGATCCTGGTCATTCAGCTAAAGCCAGGAACCGAAGCCTCCTTCCAGCGGCTGTTCTGTCTTAGAACCCTCCATTCATGCAGATCAGAAGGTGTCCCCGCCTTTCTCAAGCACCTTCCATGGTTCCTCTTGGCCCAGCAGCATCTGGCTCCACATATTTTATTCTAATTCATGGTCTTTCACACAAGCAAGTCTTTGCTTGTACTGCTCTCTCTGTCTGGAACACCCTCCTTGATTTTCCCACCCTGGACAACACATGCCAGCCCATGGAGGTGCAGCTCCAGTCCCTCTCCTCCAGGAAGCCTTCCCTCCAGGTAGAGCCCCTGTTCCCCCAGCACCATCTCTCCCTCTGGCCCAGCTCTAGCCCCAGGGGGCTGGGAGTGTCTGTGTCTAGATCTGACCTCCCGAGATTGGGGGCTCATCAGGCACTGGGCTGGAGCTGAGGCCTCTCCCAGTCCTCATCATCACCCATCACAGAGACGGACACAAGGAGGTGGCACCAGGGGGTGGCACAACAGGATAACATGAGAGGGTAGCAGGAAGTGTTTAGTGAACCGGTGAACCTTAGCATACTGTCCTAGGCCTTGTGTGATCTGACTTGGCGAACTCCTGTTCATCCTTCAAAATCCACTAAAACCTACTTCGCATGCCCCCCTCTCCAAGAAGCCTTCATTGATGTCCCAGGCAGCATTGGTGGGGAAGACAGATTTGGAGGCTGGCCTCCTCTGTCCCAGCGGGACAGGAGGGTCGATGAGGACTCCTTGTACTCCCAGCGTGGTGCTCTTCCTTTGGCCTCTGGGAGGCAGCAGTGTAGAAAGTTGCAGGCTGTATTAAAAAAAAAAAAAAAAATGTTGCCATGGAGTCGATTCCAACTTATAGCGACCCTCAAGGACATAGTAGAACTGCCCCATAGGGTTTCCAAGGAGTGCCTGGTGGATTTGAACTCCCGATCTTTTGGTTAGCATCCACAGCTCTTTTAACCACTACGCCACCAGGGTTTCCAGGCCTGCTGTATTAGCGGTTTGGAAATGGATTCGGGCGAACTTCCCTACTTAGGAAGTCTCTCGGACGCCAAAACCAGTGCTTTGTACTGGGCGCAAAGAAACATGGCCCAGAATGTAGTGGGCGCTCAATCTCTTTCGGTGTCGGTCTTTCTTCAGCTCCCGGGAAGCCCAATTCCTGGACGCCGGAACTTTAAGAGGCGGGCATGGGGGGCGGGGGGACGGGATCATGTCAGGCCCCGCCCCCGGGAGGGACGGCTGGGAGGGGCCGAGCGTCTCACTGCGCCGTGCCGCTTCCCCGCGGTTCCGGGTCGCAGTGCTGCGCGCCGGGGAACTGAGGCTTGGAGAGAGGGGTGGCCGCCCCCGAAGCCCACAAGAAGCCGATTTCCTGTCTTTACACCGGCTGTGAAAGGCCAGTCCCCGGTCACTCGCAGTTTCCCTGAGCCCCCCAATTTTTCCGGCAAGGGGGTGATAAAGGCGACATTTAGGACTAAAGGGGAGCGGGAGTGGAGGTCTGGTTGTGGGCCACAGATGAGCACTTGGAGGTCTTAGCCCTGCGCAGCCTTGTAAATCCAAGATGGCCCACTCTTTGGTTTGTCCCGAGACTGTGAGCAGGTGAGAGCCTGAGGCGGGGCCCTCGCCGGAGGTCGAGTCCCCACGTGGACGGAACTGGGGCATGGGCGGGGTCCAGGGCGAGGCTCAACTCTTTTTTTTCCTCGCTCTGACCGTTGCCTCCAGGGTGAGCTCCGTGCTGAATCGCAACACCCGGCAGTTTGGGAAAAAGCACTTGTTCGACCAGGACGAGGAGACCTGTTGGAACTCAGGCCAGGTGAGGCGGCTCCCTAGACCCCCAACTCCAGTCTGAATCAGATCCAGGGCCCAGAGTGCCTGGAGAACTTCTGGTGGACCGTGTGCTGGACGCTTCTCCCGTGGACTGCGTGAATGAGACACAGGCAGAGCGGGTTCTGAGCCTGGGGTGGCCCCCAGCCTCAGCTTTCCCGTCTGCTTCTAGGGCCCCTTCCAGTGGGTGATGCTTGAGTTTCCCCAGTGCGTCCGCATCTCCCGACTGCAGATCCAGTTCCAGGGGGGCTTCTCAAGTCGCCGGTGCCGCCTGGAAGGTACTGGGAGGCCCCACGAGGTGGGGGGGCAGGAGGGTGGGGTCCCACCCTAACCATCTCCCTCTTTGCTGCAGGCTCACAGGGGAGCCAGGCCCTTTTTGGGATTGTGGACTTCTACCCTGAGGACAACAACTCACTTCAGATATCCTGTGAAGTGATGGGGTGTATGGTGGTCCGGGCCTCTGAGAACCAAGGCCTACCCAGACCTGGGAGCGAATCTGGCACGAGGCCTAGGTCTCCACTGCTTCATCTGTAAAATGGGGCCAATGATAGCCTGTTCTGAGGCTCAGAGAGGCCCAGGTCCCCCAGCATGGTGGTAGTGTCTGAGCTGGGGCTTGACCCTGGGTCTAGGAGGGGTGGGGGCCTGCGGGTGGGCAACTAGGAGCTGCACATTTCCCTTGACTACCCTGTGCTCACACTTTCCCTGTGCCAGCCACTGAGGTGGACCGGCTAAAGGTTACCTTCGAGGACATGGCTGACTTTTTTGGCCGCGTGGTCATCTACCACCTGCGGGTGCTGGGGGAGAAGATGTGAGACTGCCTCCTTCAAGAAACCCTCAGGGAAGCACAGCCAAGTCCTTGGAGTTCTGCACAGAAGGTTTATTGGTTTCTCTTGGGACGACCCCCTCCCGCCACTGTCCTGAGCGTCTCCCCATGATTGGGAAGCAAGAGCTGCCTCAAGCCAGTTCTGGGTTGCCCCGGCTCTGGGTCGACCGTTTTGTTCCCTGAGTGTCTGAGTCCCTGGTGGCGGCCTTCACTCGGGGTCAGCGGACACGAGGTTGCTCTGGAAGAGCTTGAGGATGTGGTTCTCAATCACCTGTTGCACTGGGATGGGGATGGGAGCAGAGAAGGCGGGCTGTGAGCTTGAATGGGGGCTGCTGAGGCACAGGTACTTTGCAGCTGCACCTGCTCCCTGGCAGGTCCAGGGAATCAACCCCCCTCCCCGTGCACAGCTGGGAGCCCTGAGCATCTTCTCCAAAGCTTGTAAGAATGTATTTCTTCTCGGAGAGTTTTCAGAGCTATAAAGGTATTTCTTAGCAAACCAAACTGGCGGGTTGTGATTTCTATGAAAAGATGATGGAGGCTGTGAGGAATGGCGTCTGTCCCAAATGGAATAAAATTCCTCAAAAGAAGGAGGGAATGTTTCCTGAGCCCTCTACCTCCTCATGACCTTAGAGAGGGTCGGTTCTGTTAGGATCTCCCGATTTTACAGATGGGAAAGCTGGGTCTCATTGTTAGGGGAAAGTGGGGATTTTAACTGGGGTTTGCCAGTACACCCTCCTGACACCCGCCTCCCGCACAGGTCCCTGTCACCTTGAAGGAGGGTGGGAGAGGGCCAGACCCCTGCCCTGACTGCTGTAGCTGGCCCACTGCCCTTTGTGTCCTCCCTCCCCTCGGCTTATTCCTCCTCAGGGCTGGGAAAGTCCGACTGATCCCCCTGCCTAGGCTGGGCTAGGCCTCTCAGTGCCTGTGTGTCCCCCATCATGGCTCCAGACATTGAAACATGTCAGTCTTCCTCCCCCAGCACACTGGGGCCTGTAGGGGCCGGTACCCAACAGGTGTCCAACGTTTGCTGGCATGAACACTCACTGCTGACACAGCCAGCATCTAACAGCTGGCATCTAATGCCTGCGTGGGGTATCATGTGCACCCCTCTTTGTGGTCACTGCCTAGAGTATCCTATCACTACTCCATGTGTCTCAGACCAACCTTTGCGGTACCCCAGAGCCACGGCGAGGTCCATCGGGGTGTAGCCAGAGTCAGCCTCCGTGGTAAGGTCAGCTCCTCGGGCTAGAAGCAGAGCGGGGGCAGATGGGAGGAGGCTGGGAGTGGGGCATAGAGGGGCTGCAGGGGTGCTCGGAGCCAGAGGATGCGGGGCAGGGGATGGAGAGGGGGCTGAAGGGAGTGCTGGATGGGGGAGTGGATGCAGAGAGGTGAGTAGGAGTGCTTGAGGAGGGGCTGAGGGGGTTACTGGATGGAGGAGCCATGTTGGGGAGCAGGGGAGGACTAGAGGGGAAACCAGACTGGAGGGGATGCTAGAGGGGGACAGAGACAGGGCTGGAGGGGGTGCTGGGTGGTGACGTGGAAGGGAGACTAGCCCCAAGGGCAGAAATCTAAAATGGGGGCTCAGGAGGTCCAGTGACTCCCCACCATGCAGCCATAGTTCCGCTGTTGCCCACATGATCCTGAACAACACGCATCTCCGAGCCCCAGTCTTCTCTGATGAATGTGGCCAGCAGGACCCCCACCTCTGGGGTCCCTGAGGCACCGAAGTCAAGTGCTGGGCTGAACCATCCTCAGACCCCCATGTTCTCCTGCAATTTCTTCTCACCCAAGCTGATTTTGGTGGAGCTGCCCTCCCCAGGCCCCAGGTGTTCCCCAGCTGGGGCTCTGGGCCCCACTCACCCAGCAAGGCCTCCACGCACTTCACGTGGTTCCCTCGCACGGCGTACAGCAGGGGGGTTCCTCCGTTCTGGCGTGGGGAGACAAGGCTCTATCTAGCCTTTCCTGATACCCAGGACTCCCTGCAGCCTCTGGCCTCTAAGCTATCATGGCTTCTCCCCCCGCTTGTCACCTGGCTGGCTGTCTCCTCCCTTAGGGCTCAGATCAGGCATCCCTGCTTCCAGGAAGCCCTCCCTGACCTCCCTCACTGAATGGGCACCTCTGGGCTCCTGCAGCTGCCTGTGCACCACCCATCACAGTGCTATCCACTACATCTGAGCCCTGTTAAGTCACCTGCCTCCCGACAGACTGGGAGCTTGGGTAAGCTCTGTCTTGCTCACAGCTGTGTTTCTAGCACCCAGAGCAGGGCCTGGACCCAGCAGGTACTCAGTACATGTTTGGAGTCAGGAACACAAGCCAGGAAGCTATGGTAGGGTGGCTGGGCCGGTGAGGTGGGAGACCAGGGCAGTGGGGTGGGCAGGTGGCAGCGCAGCCCCTCACCCAATCGTAGATGTTGATGTCCACATCCCGCTCCAGCAGCAGCCCCACGATGTCCGTGTAGCCACCCGTGCTGGCCAGCGACAGGGCACTCTCCCGCTCCTTGGCCAGAATGTGTGGGTCGGCTCCCTGGCGGCAGAGGGTGATGAGGGGAAGAGAGGGGCTGAATGGGGAGGGTGGGGGCCAGAGAGCTGTGAAGGGAAGGATGGGGAGGGGAGGGGCAGTGAGAGGAGGGAGCATGGGGTGATGAGAGGGGGCTGGGAGCAGAGAGGCAGTAAGGGAGGGATGGAGGTAGAGAGGTAGTGAGGGAAGGGGTGGGGGCATCCCAGGAATCCCAGGGTACCCCCCTGTAGCCCTATTTTACAGACCAGTCCCCAGTAGATGCAGCCAAGATCCCCACCTGCTTGCCTGTTGGGACCCCCCTGCTGGACCCAGACGCACCCACTCAAGCAGGAAGCGGACAGTCTCAATCTCTCCAAAGGCTGAGGCCCAGATGAGGGGGGTGAAGCCACGCTCATCTGGCTTGTTGACTAGATTGTCCCCTGGAGGAGGGGGTGGGACAGGGGCTGGGGTCAGATGCAGAGAGACCATGGTGGGGGGGAGGCATACAGGTAGGTGCACACAGATAGAAACACCATCTCATGCGTGTGGACACACTAGCACATACACGTAAACAGGCACACATGGACACACAGGTCACCCCGGTGCCCATGAGTGGACACACAGGACACAACGTGTGAACACAAGCACACGTGTTCAGACAGACCTCAATACACCATCACACGTGGACATGCCAGCACATGTCTGGACACACACCTTTCCTCAGGTGTTCCTTCAGTTGGCTCAGCTCCCCCTGGGCTGCGAGCTGGTGGATGGACAGTGCTGGGTGCCAGAAAAGGGAGAGAACCTGTTGGGGTGGGTGGGTACCTGTCCTATGCCCTCTCTGGGCCTCAGTTTACCCCTGTCTAAAGGGACTCCGTGACCCATTCCCCCACTGACGCCCTGGGGACCCTGGGCCCTACTCACAGTCCAGGGTGGCTGGCAGGGCGGAGACCTCATTCCCGCGCTGCCGGTTGGTGAGAGTGGTGGAGTGCTTCAGGGAGCTGCCTGCTGGAAAGAGAGGAGGGGCCTCAGTGTCCCCTCAGTGTGTGTCTCTGGGGCTATGGGGAAGACCCTAGGGGTCTGGAGCTACTGAAGACAAGAGCCTGAGATCTCACTGTTCACCCAACCCACCTTCTCAGATACCCAGGGATGGTCATCTCCTCTGAGCTAAGCAATGTGCCAGAAAGTAAGACAGAGGCCCTGCCCCAGGGAGCCCAGGGGCAAGGAAGTAAATCAGGCAGCGAAACAGAATAAAATTTAAAGTAGAAACAGTGCTCAGAAGAAATAAAAAGCAGGTATAAGGTGCTGGAAAGGCCAGGGGGCAGAGGAGGCTCTATTTCATATGAGGTGGTAAGGAAGGGCCTCTCTGAGGAGGTGATACCAACTGAGATTGATGTAGGGAGGATAGCAGGCACAGGAAGAGGTGGGAGACGAGCATCCAAGGCAGAGGGAACAGCAAGTGCAAAGGCACCGGGGTGGGCTGAATCAGACATGTTCAAGGACTCCACTCAAAAATAAATCCTTGGTTTCTCAAAAAGTTAAATGTAGAATTACCATATGACCCAGCAATTTCACTCCTCATTATCTACCCAAAAGAACTGAAAACAGGTGTTCAGACAAATCTTTGTATACAAATGTTCACAGCAGTATTACAATAACCAAAAGATGGAAACAACCCAAAAGTCTATCAACAGATAGATAAATAAGCAAGACGTGATCCATCTGTACAATGGAATGTTTGTCATTCAGCCTTAAAAATTAACAAAGCTCTGACATCTGCAACGCCATGGATGAACCTTGAGAAATTATGCTCAGTGAGAAAAGCCAGACACAAAAGGTGACATAGTGCATGATTCCATTTATATGAAATGTCCAGAACAGGCAAATCCAAAGAGACAGAAAGTGGATTAGTGGTTGCCAGGGGCTGGGGAAGGGAAAATGGGGAATGAGTGCTAATGTGTAGAGTTTCCTTTTGGGGTGATGAGAATGTTCTGGAACTAGATCGATGTGGCTGCATAGCATTATGAATGTACTAAATGCTACTGACTTGTTCACTTTAAAATGGCTAAAATGAATTTTACATTACGTGTAGTTTACCACAATTTAAAAAAGTGAAATTGTAAATAAGTCAAGAAGCCCTGCATGGGTTGGAGAGGGAAGATGTGTCCCAGGTAACAGGACCACAAAGACAGGTCCTGTTCCTGTTGCCACGCCTGACTTCCTACCATCAGTGCATCCATGCCAGACGGCTGAGCCCAGAGGAGGGGTCCTACCCTGTGGTGAGAGGACTCCAGCATCTGCTTCAGGGTTCCCAGTCTCCGGAGTACAGGGGAAGAGGCTGAGGACCACAGTGTCTGAGCTGTCAGGGGTCTCATCCCTGGGGTCTTCTGGGTCCCCAGGCTCTGGGGCGGGGGGCTGCTGGGCCAGGCTGAGGTTGTCCAAAGGCTGGGTGGGCTCCATGCAGGAAGCTGGTGGACACACCAGAGGGGAGAAGACAGTAGTTATCATTAACTCTTAAACGAAGTAGGTATGGACTGCATACCCAACCTTGTACTGTGATGGTAGGCAAACCAAGGCTCAAGTTAATTGCCAGAATGTAGCAGAGCCAGGAAATTAAAACCAGAGTCCAATTGCTTTTCACTCCCCTCCCACCACTGGTACCTGCAACATGCAAATGGTTAAAAGTCCCAGCTCTGGGGTCGGACTGTGTGGGTTGGATTCCCTGGGCTGCCAGTTACAGAACTTCAGCGCATGACTTAACCCCTCCATGCCTCAGTTTCCTCGTCAATGAAATGGGGAAATGAGGCCTAAAAGAAATCAGGGGTCCTGATTCATGGGCAGAGCTTAATAAATGTTCCCTGTGTTTATTTTTGGGGGTCTCCAGAAGTACAGCCAGAATGGTCTTTAGAAGTAAGGATGGTCAGACTTCTTCTCACGTACTTTGGACATGTTATCAAGAGGGATCAGTTCCTGGAGAGGGACATCATACTTCGTAGAGGGTCATCGAAAAAGAATTAGACCCTCGACGAGATGGACTGACACAGTGGCTGCAACAATGGGCTCAAGCATAACAAGGATTGTGAGGATGGCGCGGGATTGAGCAGTGTTTCATTCTGTTGTACATGGGGTCGCTATGAGTCGGAACCGACTTGACCGCACCTAACCACCACCACCAGAATGAGTGAGGGCTCAACAAAGGCGTGATTGGCCCCAGTACCACCCACCCTCCCTACCCGATTCAGGAGGTCCACTCACCTACCTCCTCACGAGCCTCCTCCGTCCCCCCGCGCCTCAAGACGGGGTCCTCCAAAACTTGGGGGCTCAATGCACAAACTTTTCTCCTCCACTTGATGTAGAGAGGGCCAACTGGAACCTGGACCCTCAGCGCCCTGGTTCCTCTGCCGGGACAGAGCAACTTGATACGCGACGGCTACCCACACACCAGCACTCCCCCACTGCGCCTGCGCACCTCCGCCCCCCAAAAGTGCGGAAAAACCCGAGCTTCGAGCCGTCGGTTCTGGCCCTTTAAATCTCGGGGGAAGGGGCGTGGCTTTTGCTGGGACCCCCGAGGAACGCAGTTGCGCCTGCGCGTTGCCGCCCCCGCGGCTCAAGAAGGATGGGTGGGACTTCAGAGGGCTCTGAGGACTTCACTGAGCCCGTGCTCTCACATCAAGCTCCGCCCAGAGGTTTGTTTAGATTAAGAGCTGTCCCCAGCTGGCAGGGCGGGAAGAAGTAGGTGGGGCGTCCTGGACTTAAAAGGGCAACGAACCCATTACCGCCCCCTCCCATAACAACGTCCCCTCTGCAGGCCCGGGGACCCAGGAGACATGTGCGGGCGTTTGGTAGCGGCAGGGAGCACAAGAAGGGCGTTTCTACGGCCCGAGGCGGATAGTGTGTGGACTGTCCCCTAATTCGTCTGCCCCCGAAAAGAGAGTTCTGGAAAGGAGAAGGCCACTGCCCCTCCCCACCTGAGTGTTCCTTCTGAAACCTCGAGATGTCTCCACTCCCTCCTCACCCACCCGCGGTGTTCTTCTCCACCTCACTCACAGCTCCTCTCCTGCCCAGGGAGACGGAAGGGTGAGAAAAGCACGCCGACTGGTACCGGAACTGGAGCAGCTGCGGCGTCCGATTTCCACAGGGGAAGCCTAGGGCGGCCGTTCCCACCTCCAGATTTCCGGTTCCGGTCTCGGTAGCGTCTTTGGCCGCCGTCGCTATGGAGGAGCCCGAGATGCAAGTCAAAGGGAAGAAAGGTGGTTGGGGGCCCCGGGCCGGACGGAGGGGGCCGCGTGGGGGTAACTCGCGGAGTGACGACCTGAGAAAGGGTGGGAGGGGCGCCCGCAGGGGCAAGGGCGCAGAGAGAGCGGGTGGGGGACATGACTGAGCTACTGTCGAATCCCAGACCTTGGGAAGTTGCTGTGTCTCGGATTTGTCATCTGTAAAATGGAGAGAATAACAGTCTTCCCCTTCATAGGATTCTTGTGAGAATTCACTGACTTGATATTTGCACAGCGTTGGAAGCGCGCCTGCGCGTGGCAATCGCTGTGTGTATTGCTTCCTTTTTTTTTTTTTTAATACGTTTACGCACATAAATATGTTTAGGTTTACCTACCAGATATTTACAGATGATATAGTAATAAGTTGTAAGTTACTCTAAATTGGTTGTAAACTAAACGAATCTTTATTACCCGCTTATTTCTAGTTGATTGTTTAGGAAGTATAAGTACATTTAATTCCCATTCCCCATTCTTCATAGCAACCCTGTGAGGTGTAAGCTATTGTGACGCTCATTTTCAAGACAAGGAAAAGGACCCCCTTTAGACCCCTAAGAGGCTGGGTTGTGCCCTACTGAGTTAGCTGGACAGATCCACATGCAGCCTCCTTTGATTGTCAAACACTCCTGGGTTCTCTCACTCACCAATCACACTGCCCTGGTGCCCTGGGCAATAACATCGACTTTATTTGTATAGCAAACTTTGAGATGGATGCTGTTATCCCCTTTTTACAGATGAGGAATCTGAGGCTGAGACATCTCAGCTTTCATGAATCCAAACCTGATACTGTTTTCATAAAGACATAGCCCAATAAATTGCAATACATATAAGAAAAATGAATAAGGTCCTGAGGTCGAGCATAGTGGAGGGGTCATCTGATTAAGCTTGTTGGTCAGAGAGGGCCTCTCCCAGGAGGTGACTTTTGAACTGAGACCTAAGGGATGAAGAGGAGCCAGTGGGGGAAGGGCTGGAGAAAGGTGTCTCAGAGGAGGAAACAGCGGATGCAAAGGTCTTGGGGTGGGGAATAGTTCGGAGTTGTGTTGTCTAATACAGTCTCTACTGGCCACATAAGGGTATTTAAGTTTAAACTGATTAAACTTAAGTAAAATTAAAATTGAGTTTCTCAGTCACACTAGCCACATTTCAAGTGCTCAATAGCCACGCGTGGCTAGTGGCTACCATCGTGGACAATGCAGATTATGGAATATTTCTATTATCTCAGAACTTTCTTTTGGGCAGTGCTAGGAGTGCCTGAGGGACAGCCAGGAGGCCACACAGGGCCTCATGGGTGGTGGTAGGGAAGGCAGGTTTTATTCTTTGACTGGTAGGAGCCATGGGAGAGTTTCAAGCAAGGGAGGGACGTATTTGATGTGTTGTTAGGAGCTTGCTCTGTCTGCTGCATGGAGAGCATGCAGTTGGGGCAGGAGGGGAAGCAGGGAGACTAGGAAGGAGGCTTGGCTGGCACCCAGGCAGGGGAGTGGTGGAGTGGTGTACACAGGTGAGATTTGGGTTTTATTTTGTGGCACAAGCGTGGTCTGTTCACAGTTGGGGTAGGGTTGCGGCAGGGAGGGCTGGGGATGACAAGATGGATGGAAATGCCACTTGTTGAAGCAGACCCTGAGATAAGGATTCTGTGTAATTTATCAGGAGAAACCCACAGGGGAGATTGGGAACGGGGCAGGGCCAGGGAGGAGACTGAGCAAAGGCAACCTCAGGTGAAATCCTGGAAGGGAGGAGCTTGGGAGGGCAGGTCATGCCTCAGTACAGGTATTGGGCTTTCCTATGCCATGTGGTCAACTGTGGCTAAGGGCTGTCAGGCTGTGAATGCCCAGGCACTTTGGGTCCAGTAGCCTGTGGGCATTCTCCAGAGAAGAGTCTCAGGCACAGTTGTGACAGGGGTCTGAGGGACCCGGGCAGCACCAGTATATCTACTTCACATGGGTTTGGGAGGGGAAAGACTAGGAGTTTCCTGGATATGTGAATGAGGCCATGGTCCCAAGGAACCCCCAGAAGGGCCCTGCTATGACTGTCGCCTCTGGCCACCTACCAGGGCCGTGGTGACCCAGCTGCTGGGGAGGGACCCCACACTCCTCTCCCCTCTGGCTGGTACATGGGTTGTAGAAAGAGTGACTCTGATGCTTTGTCCCCTTGTTTTCCCCCTCCCTGCCTGGCTGTCTTCGGGACCTGGATGCAGTCACAGACAAGTTCACTGAGAGTGTTTACGTGCTAGCCAACGAGCCGTCCGTGGCGCTATACCGACTGCAGGAGCACGTGCGCCGCTCCCTGCCCGAGCTGGCCCAACACAAGGTGAGCTGCTGCCCACCGTGGACCTCCCTCCTGTGGACCTCCCTAACACCTCCTAAGCTGGGGCAGGAGGGTGGCCCCATGAGGCCTGTTGTGTGGAGTAGGTGCTGTGGGGGTAGGAGCCAAGTCAGGGACTCTGGTGAGAAGGAGTCTGGTGGCCCAGCCAGGTCAGGCTGTGGAGACAGACCTGCATGTTGAGGAGGTGAGACTGGCAGAGGGAGCAGCTGTACAAAGGCCCAGAGTCACAGAAGGCCCAGACAGGGAGGGAGGGCAGAGGAAGGAAGGGAATTGCAGGAGGGAAGGTTTGGGCTGAAGGGCTCTGTGGCCACAGTGAGTGCCCTCTGCAGCGGCCTCACTGGTCATGCCCTCTTGCAGGCGGACATGCAGCGGTGGGAGGAGCAGAGCCAGGGGGCCATCTACACAGTGGAGTACGCCTGCAGGTGAGTACTCAGCCTCCCCACACTGCCGAGGCCTCACCATCGTACCCAGGGGTCACTCTGCCCTCCAGAGTCTCCCTGCCGTGACCCTGAGTCACCCCACAATCCCTGGCCTTGGGCATTCAGGGACCCAGGGAACCCCATCCTGCCAAACACATTTGAGTGGAGGCCTGTGAGTGGAGGTGTGGCTAGACCTGTTCTTCCCTCGTCTGCCCCTGCCCCTTGCTGTGCTAAGCCTTCCCCCTCACTTGTCATTCAAAGAGGTGACCTGGATCGTCCCTTGGGTGCAAGGAACTGGAGCCTCAAGGGGACCCAGCACTGTGGCAGCACCACAGACGGGATGGGGTGACCAGTGGGAAGGGTGGCCACTGATGCGGGTCAAAGCATTTGTTTTTTTTTTTTTTAAGTTTCTCTGCATCTTGAGGATGAAAAAAGGAAGTGGGTGATATGGGCATTTTTCATTCATAGTAGATACAAGATACTGGAAAGTTCATTTTATGAACAAATGGGTTCTTTTGGGATAATCAAGAATTTAGCAAATTTTGGAGTCCAGTTATTTTGCTTTTTTAGGGAAAGACACCCCATAGCTGTCTGATGTGACAAGCAGGAGCCTGTGTCTCCCCATGGCGTGGTTTTGCTGCCACCTTGTCCCCGCCCTCCTCAGTTGACTGTGTTTAATGTCTTGTTGCAGCTGCCCCGGAGTTGGACATCTGTGTTTGGAGGTGCCATTTGCCTCCATCATGGGCTACGGCTGTTCTGGGGGAGGAAGGACACTCCCCTGGCTGTTCTTGTGATTCGACTCGGGTTCATTTGCCTTTTGCGGTTTGGTCAAGTAATGATGGGTCCTAGGCTAGATGGCCTGGTGCCTTGGGCTCAGGGTGGGGTGTTCTGCTGTGCACAGCCCTGGTCCCTCTGATGGGATCAATGAATGCCTGGGCAGATGGCATTTGCCTGATGATGCAGCAGCCACAGTGAAAAGTGGTTGCAGATGCCCTCCTTACCTCAAGGAAAAGTTAGACAAGAGGTAGGAGTTTCTCTTTTATAAGCACTGGCAGATGGCTCTGGGAGATTCGAGCTCATCAGCAAGCCTGGAGGTTAAAAGAAGAAAGTGTTGATGTCCATGCTTCCCCTAGCTCCTCTAACTGCGTGTGCCGGTGTGAGAACCCTGGGCACAAGTGGCTATCCAAGATTCAGTTCCTCCCTCACACAAGCTGCATTTCAAGAGGCTGGCAGCTGTGTGAGTGGTCAGTGCAGATGAAGAGGATTTCCATGACGTGAAAAGTTCCATTGGATGGTGCTGGACTAGGCAGGATGCTAGTGTTCTCTGGGCCGTAAGCATTTTCTAGAGTGACTGGTATGTTCTCTAATGCTTAAAGTTTCATGAAACTGCTTCTTTTTGTTGTTTCAAATGCTCTCAGCACCGTTTAAACAGTTAAAAACCAGAGATGTTAAAATTGCATGCCTGACATTAAATAGTCAATAGTTAGCTTATTAGCAAGCTTTTTATGCAAGTGTGGAATCAAACGCTAGAAAAGCTGACTTCATTTGATAACGTTAAGGCGATCGTGTTAGAGCTGCCTCCCAATGGCAGTAGAAATACAAGTAGTTCTTACAGTTTTCCTGGCTGGACAATTAACTCATCAGAGCTGGTGAGCATGGCACACTCTGTGGTCTTGGGATCGTTTTCCTGCAGCTCCTCGATCCACAATAAATGGGAGTGATTTTTTTGTATTTAATAACCAGATGTTATTGAGTCGCCCCTAACTCATGGCAATTCCTTTTGTGTCAGAGTAGAACTGCGCTCCATAGGGTTTTCAATGGCTGATGTCTTGGAAGTAGATTGTCAGGCCTTTCTTCTGACGCACCTCTGGATGGATTTGAACATCTAACCTTCTAGTTAGCAACCAAGCGTGTGAACCATTTGCACCACTCAGGGGCTCCTTGTTTTTAAATACCAAAAAAAAAAAAAAAACTCAGACACGTTGTTGAATTGATTCTGACTCAAGGCAGTTCTGTGTGTTAAACAGAGTAGAACTGCTTCATAAGGTTTCCTTGGCTATAATCTTTATGGAAGCAGATTGCCACGCCTTTCTTCCACAGAGCCGCTGGGGGGTTCAACTGCCAACCTTTAAGTTAATAGTGGAACACAGACTGTTTGTGCCATCCAGGGCTCTTTTATTTTTAATAGAAGGATTTAAAATGATACTTTTAGATTTACTGCAGATGTCGTCTAACAGGCGGTGTTTGTCATACCCGTGCCCTGAGTGGCTTTGCTAATGTCTCTATTGTGCCACGGAAAGGATGTTCTCATTGGAGTTTACCATATGGCACCCACACCAAGCTTGGCACCGTTTGCAGCAGTGCACCCCTATCTGGTGGTGGGTGACTGTGGTGGCTGGCTCAGTCTAGACTCAGAGCTGCTGACGGTTCAGTTGACAACCTCCCTTCAGAAACAGGATATGTTGTCTGAGAGGAAAATGAAATATCTGTGTGGCCGCCTTTTTGGCTTTTATCTCCAAAAGGTGAATGTTTGGCTGCAGGGACACAAAGGCTACGTCTTACCCATGCAGTCTGCTGCATAGATGCTGTCTGGGTGCATGAGGATGAGCCCCAGGGAGGTGCCAAGTCACTGCGGTACCTACTGTGCAGGGCCCGGGGTGGCTGCACCCTGTGGAGCCCCTCTCCCTCCCTCCCTCCCTCCCTGCCTCCCTCCCGTGCTGGGGGCTCCAAAGCAGCTGCCGCCCCACCTGACCGAGCCATCCTCCTGTTTCAGTGCTGTGAAGAACCTCGTGGACAGCAGCGTCTACTTCCGCAGCGTTGAGGGGCTGCTCAGACAGGCCATCAGCATCCGGGACCACATGAATGCCTCTGCTGCCCAGGGCCACAGGTAGTCCCAGGTGCCCACCGCCACCACCACCGCCTTATGAGGACCATCGGCCAGGAGCTGCCCTCTCCTTGTCCTTTGGTGTCTGCTGCGGGAGCGTCCAGTCTCTTGGCACCTGGAACTGAGCTCTGCCCTGTGCTGGGCCCTGGGCAGGCACTGGAGACACCAGGGGCTGAGGCAGCGTGCTCAAGGGGTGGGAGGGGGAAATGTGACACCAGGTAAACATGATTAACAAGAGCATCACAGATGCCGCAAAGGACAAACACTGGATTTTGGTCAGGGCCTCCGAGAAGGAGTGGATGAGCAGAGGCCTGGATGACACTGATGGGGAGCTGACGGGGACGGGGCTTCAGGCGGGGTGGCAAGGGCAGAGGCCCTGGGACCAGATGAGCTGGATGTGTTGGATGAGCTGGACGTGTTGGAGGAACGTGGAGGAGCCGAGTATGGCCAGCTTGGGGAGACTAGGATGGGTCAGGAGGTGGTGGGGGCCACAGGTGCTGTGAGGCTGCTCTGTCCTTAAGACTGGGGCTGAGGGAGGCCCTGCACCAGGCCTGGGTGATCTGGAAACGAAAGGTGCTCCCAGGCTTCATGTGTTGTGTAGGAGGGTTCTGGAGAAATAGCTCTTCTGTTTTTCACACTAACCTAATAAATGTGCATCTGATGCACTCACACTCGCTGCAGGCCATGAGCTCACCTTGGGGTACGTCTGCTGGGCAGCCCCCGAGTCCTGGCCTGCTGGTTCCCTGCTCTTACTAGGCAGATGGAAAGAGAAGTGTGTGTTGCTGGCTCTGATGCCTGAGACGTGAGAATTGTTGAACACAAAAGCTTCCAAAGTATTTAAACAGGTGTGAGCATCCTTCCCTCTACCACTGGGGTCATTTACACTAGAAGCATGGCTTCAGGAGGCTGTTCAGTGATGGCATAAAGCACCTGGCATGGGCCAGCACACAGAGGGCCTCAGCCTGGTGTTCTGTCACTCACGGTTCCAGCGTGCCTTCAGTGCTGTACTTGTGCCTGCTCTTGTGAACGCGCAACGTGTGAGTCTGAGTGGCGTTGGCAGCGGCTGGGCACTACTCACACCTCCTCTCTATGCGTCCATGGGATTGGGCACAGTCTTGAGGGGGTCTCAGTCAGGCTCCAAAGGGGGCACTGGACCCATGTGTACTGAATGCCAAGGCCACGGCCCTAGTGGCCAGAGTGAAACCCACGCCTGGTCTGGGGTTTCCTGATGGACACTGCCATGTTTTGTTCCAGCCCTGAAGAGCCGCCCCCACTCTCCTCGGCCTGATTCCAGAAGAGACTTCAGGTGCCTGGCCTCCCCTACCAGGTCAGTGCTGGAGGGTGCTGGGGCCTCCCCTACTCTGGATTAACCTGCCCACCGGCATCCATGCTTGTGTAACCACTTGGGCTCTCTGTGGTGCTTATGGGTGAGCTGTCATGGGAGGCAGTGGGGGTGTCTGTGATCTAGTGTCCCACGTCTGTGCCCTCTGTGCTCGGGGTGCGTTCTCAGTCCACCTCCCAACCTCTCTCCCTGCCTCACTCTTGTCCACAGGCCTGTCCTGATCCCAGGTTCCTTCCAGGACCAAGAGGAGAACTCACATTCCCTCTCTTGCCACAGCCTAGGGTGTTACACAAATACCAGGAGTGGGTAGCCTTAAAGAACAAACCTTTATTTTTTCATAGTTCTTGAGGCTGAAAGTCCAAATTAGGGTCTTGGCCATGTGGGTTCCTTCCTTGTCAGTAGCCCCGGATGTTCCTTGGTTCATTGGCTTGCAGACAGTCCTCACGTGGTGCCTGTCTTCCTGTTTTTGCTTGCCTGTGTCTAGTCTCATTTTATGACTCGGAAGTGATTCGGTTTAGGACATGCCCTATACTGGTATGGCGTCACTAACATATCAAAGAAAACCCTATTTCCGGACAGGATTACAGCCCCAGGTGTGTTGTTGTTAAATGCTGCCCAGTATTCCGACTCATAGCGACCCTGTGTACAACAGAAAGAAACACCGCCTGGTCCTGTGCCATCCTCACAGTCGTTGCTATGTTTGAGCCCACTGTTGCAGCCAGTGTGTCAGTCCATCTTGTTGAGGGTTTTCCTCTTTTTCACTGATGGCCCACTGACACCAAGCATGATGTCCTTCTCCAGGGACTGGCCCTTCCAGATAACATGTCCAAAGTGCATGAGACGAAGTCTCACCATCCTCGCTTCTAAGGATCATTCTAGCTGTACTTCGAGCCCTCACACCACCACTGTGTGACCCTGAACAAGCACCTCCCCATCTCTGGTTGCATTTTCCTCTGTAAGAGCAGCTTATGGTCAGTTGGCTATTGCTGTGTGACAAAATGTCCCTGATTTTAGTGGCTTACAGTGCCAATAACTTACCTGCTCATGAGTCAGTAATATAGGCCAGGCTCAGCTGGTGGTTTTTCTGCTGGTATCACCTGGAGTCACTCGTGGCACTCATTGGAGCTGCCTGGGGTGGTGGCCTCACTCATACACTGAGCACTGACCAGGCTGTCAGCTGCAGTGGGGGGTGGCTGGCTTCCAGGAGGACAGCTCCAGCGCACAAGCACGTACCCAGCCTCTGCTTGTGGCACATTTGCTGATAGTCAAAGCTGGTCACGTGGCTGAGCTCAACACCATTGCCTGAGTACTGGCAGGTGTGATCCTCATGTGGCGGGTGCAGCACTGAGAAAGACCCTGTCCACCTCCTACAGGGGGTGTAGTGCCAAGGAGGACTTGTGCATATTGTTCTGTTCCCTGATGTTGTTTACTGAGCCCTTGGCCTGTGCCTCTCAGAGCCCTCTGCCCACTTGCCAGGTGCTGTGATTGTCCTCTGTTTTGTGCCAGTAAGGCCCTCTGAGAGGGTTGGGGGAGGTGTGAGTTGAGGCAGCCTCCCCCCACAGCCCCTCAGAGCCATAGCCTCCCAGAGGCAAGAGGAAGTGGTGCTCACAAGTCAAGTCTGTGAGTGCTTACTGAGCATCTGTCAGTCAGTGATCGTTTTTTGAATACCTCATTCTGTCTATGAGTGCTTACTGAGCACCTCAGTCAGTCTGAACACTTACTGAGTACCTGCTGTATGCTAGGCTTAGCTCTGGGCATGAGGGTGGTGAGGAATCCTACAGGCAGGATCGTCTGATGGCATCCAACAGGGCCTGAAGTAGGAGGGCATCACAGGGGCCACCGTGCCCCCCACCGTGTTGCATGCCAGCCCTGGGCCCATACCCCACCGACTCTGGGTCACATCCTCAGTGCTCTGGCCCCACCCACTCTCACACCTCAAGGACACTGCCCCTGCCATCTGCTACCTCTCTGCCTCTGCACTGCTGCCATACAGAATGCTCGTGGCTCCTCCTGACCCTGCCCTTGACCCTGTGCCCCTCAGCTATCCTTCTCCTCTCTCTCTCTCCTCCCCTGTATGACTCCCAGAATTGCCACCCAGCTCCCCCAACTCAGAGCCTTCCACCCACACCTGTCCTCAAAGCTGCCCCCCTCAGCATCACTGGCAACCTTCATGGTAGGGTCAAGTCTTGGCCTTCCTGGGCCCCAGCCTTCACTGCGTGACTACTCCCAGGGCCCTAAATACTTTCCCAATTTACAGAAGAGGAAACCCAGGCCCAGAGAGGTGAGGCGGCCAGCCCAGGGTCCCTGCCCATGACCTGAAGTGCTGAGATTTGCACCGGATCCTCTGACCCTCGAGCTTGCCCCACACCGGCCGCCAGTACAGTCTTGTGGGCAACACTCCAGCCCTGGGTCTGCTGGGTCCCCAGGGTGATTCCTGCCCCAGTCCCCCACCACCACCACTCCGTGCCTACCTTGGGATCCAGGGCTCTGCCTCTGCCTCCCAGAGCTCACCATGACCCTCTCTCCTCGCTCTCCAACCTGACCCAGAGATCTGGCCCTTGGACGCAACATTGGTTGGGATGAAGACTGGGAACAGAAACATTCCTGTTTCTCTCTGGGCCTAGCTAAAGCTGTTACTGTCACCTGAGGCAACTTTGCTCCTCTTGGACTCTTAGCTTCCTCCGTCATGGTAATCCCTGTGACCAGTCCACACCCACTGTGTGCGTGGCACCATTCTGGGTGCCTTTTATCCTCACAGCCTTATTAGGCAGGTGTCCTTCAAATGCAGGTGGGAGAACAGCATGACTTGCCCAAGGTCACATAGCTCTAGAAGAGCAGACCCAGGTTTGGTGGAATCCCAGCGCCATCCTGTGACTGTGTGATGCTGGACCTGGCACTGGCTCTCTGGTTTTCCCCATCTCTACCAGAACCATGTTTGTGGACTGTGGTGGACATTCGGGCATCTGCCTGCCTGGCCTCCATACTGCCTCAAGCAGAAACGTCCCCCCCAGGCTCAGGCCATGTGGAAAAGCCACCCCAGCTCTAGGGTAGATGTGGGGCCCTGGCCTGGTAAATCAGGTCCCATCTCCCAGGACACAGTAATTGGTTTGAGATGGTCATGTGATCCAACAAGAGGTCTTCCCTCAGATGTTTGCTGCAAGCATGGGACGGGCACCGTTTTCTAACAGGATGTTGAGTTGGTGGATGAAAGGAATGGCTTGCTGGAGGATTAAGGGGTGAGCTTCCTGAGAGCAGGTGCAGGGTCCTGGATCTAGCTGTACTGGATGCTGGCCAGTCTTTATTCTTCACTTTCATGAGCTCATAAATCACCATTTTTGCTGAAATTGCTTTGAGTTGGTTTCTGTGGCTGGCTATGGAAGAGCCCTTGCTGCTGATCCCTATGAATTCCAAATCTGGGATATCGTGTGTCCACCGTGTGTCTGTCACCAAGGCCAACTGTTTGCCAATGTCATTTTAGCCCCAGAATCCTTTGTTCACACAAAATGAAGCAAGAAGATCAGAATGGCATTGTTTAGAGTGTGGCCAGGGTGGGTCCCAGGCCCATTGCTCTGGGAGGGTCCCCCAGCTTGGTATTGAGGGGTGATTGGGGGAAGAGGGGTGGCAAGGGTCAGGCACATCCCAGGGGCAGCAGAGAAGGGTCCTGGTGGGCCCCGGGGTTGCAGCAGGGTCTAAGGACATGGGAGGAGGTCTGGGACACGGGGTCCCGGGGATAGGAAGCCCTCCCTGTGTCCCCCACTCCCCATGCCGGTCCCCACCCATCCCTTCCCCACTGCTGGGCTCAGGGTGAGAGAGGAGTCCCAGGCCCAGCCCCATTTTAGCCCTAGTGTGTGGCCCTCATGAGTCACTGGAGGGCGCCTTCCGTCGTCATTTCAGTCCGTCTGTCAACCACACAGTCATTCAGCAAGTACTGCCCAGTGTAAGCCCTACCCTGACGGGATCCAGCTGTGAGCAAGACGGGCCCGGCCCGGTGGGACGGAGAAACAGATAATCCCGCATGTCCCCAGAGACCTCTCAGAGCGGTTTGGGTGCTGAGACCTAATGGGGGGCAGTCGTGGGGTGCCCCAGATCTTCCTGGGTTCCCCGTCGCGCTACGCTTCTGCATACGACCTCGGCCAGGGCTTTCGGGAACTGTGGTTAATTTGCATATCGTTTGCATGTCCGCTTCACCCTTCCGGGTCGGCCACCAGGGGGCGTAAGAAGCTATCACTGGTCCGTGCGGCAGACTTGGCGCAGTCATCGTCCACACCCGCATCCCGGCCTTTCCTCGGCGCTTTGTGACACTCCGCTCCTCGTCACTGTACACGAGACCGCTCCCATTTTTCAGAGAGCGAAACAAGGCCTCGCAACGCGTGGTTAACCTAGCAGGGCTGGGGTCAGCCCCAGACACTTAGCGCGTGCACAGCCTTCCCTCCCTGAAGGACTTGAGGGGCGTGGGCGCTTCCACGTGGCCCAGCCAAACTTGGCCCAGCAGAGCCCCAGAAATGAGTGGGCAGTCAGAGGCAGTGAGCTTCCCATCCCCGGTGCATTCAAGCGGGAGCCTGGTGCCTGCAAGGGTAGGGGTTACCGGATTCCAGCCTTGGTGGTGGGCGACCCCTCCAGGCCTCTTCAACCCCGTGGATGGGGTGAATCGAGGCCCAGGGCAGAGACCTCCCTCCAGCCTGCAGCTGCCGGGACTGGCGTTAGAGTACCAGGTTCTGTCCTGCAGCAGCCGTCTGAGTCTGGCACTGTCCTAGTCCTGCTTTAATTTCAGGCCTGCTTTGTGCTCTCCAAGGTCCCTGGGTGGTATAAGTGGTTTGCCCTCGACTGCTAAAGTTTGATAGTTGGAACCCACTCAGCGGAGTCATGGAAGATTACAGCCAAGAAAAACCTACAGAGCCGGTCTATTCTGTAACACATGGGGTCGCCATGAGTCGGAATTGACTTGATGGCAGT